CGATATCAAAGTTGAAGCTAATTAGGTATAGAGGGTTTTAGTCTTCGGTGGGCTGAGGTCAAACTTAAATTGAATTTTTCTTATCTTTAATGATTGACTGATTTTGTAGGGGCTAAATGTGATTGTATTTAATGCTCGCAATCTCCATTTAATTTGAGAGGTGGCGTGGAACATTTTTCCGAAATAGCTACTTTTAATTTCAATATGATGTTACATGTACACAAGAGAGGACGTCAGCATCCATCGAACAAATTTGAAATATTTTGGCGAGTTGCCCAACATTCGATTTCAGTCCTACTTTCATATTTTGTAGCCCAATATGTGCTAATAATTGTGGTGTAGTTTTTGTGTCAAAATATATTTCAGTTTTCGAGAAATAATTTTTTTCGTTCGACCGCTCAAATATGCACATTTTCACCATGAATATCACCCGAGTTGTTTGACCTCATGTAATGAATATACTTAACCTCCGGTATTTCTGTCAACATAATCCTTTCTTTTATCTTCTAAACTTAATTCTTTGTCATTTTTGAAGCTGACAAAGAAATATTTGTTATTTAATCGTTGTTTCAGTGGCAGCGAAGCAGTTGAAAGCGGGTTGTTGCTACAACGCTATTGTAATACATAGGTCTCAGACAGGAGAGCAAAGCGTGATGCTATGGAAAAAAAAAAAAAAAAAAATTAGGGGCCTTTTTTCATGATATCGGAATGAGTTTTTCAAGAACGAGTTTATACTGGTTGCCACATGATACCAGAGTAAAATTTATTCGAAACGAGTCATTTCTGAATGAGTTTATTTGGGTTTTCATTCCAGTATAAGATACGACACTTATCTGTATGAATCCTCTTTAGGAGCGAAGAAAGCATAGAAAAAACAGAAAAGGACATAAATACTTGTTTTTACAGGCTCAATTATCTTGCATGAAAACGCGGTATGAAATTCATTTTGTTCCGGTACGAAACTCATTTTCGAATGGTCTAAAAGGTACCTTAGGGATGGATTATTAGATTTTTGAGGTGGGGGCGACTGGGGCAAATCGCTTTTTTTTTCCACTATAGGGGGCAAATCTAATAATGGGTGAGAATGCTTGTCGTAGGGGGTCAAAATCAGCGATCTGGTATCTTTTATGGTGTCTCAAACTTTAGTGGACTACCACAGACCTTGCTAGTACGTTTTAGAGTGTTTTTCGCTCAATAAAATACCTGAAATAAGCATTACTAGGACGATTTTAATGATCTGATTTGAGCCTGTAGAGCACATCGATCAAGGTGTTTTTATTTTAGGGATTTTTCATTTTTTTGGTTTTGAATTGGTACTTTTGAGGGGTAGACATCGGTTGTTGCCACTCACACACATATAAGACTCATGTATAAATATAAATTTTATAGAGGTCGTTCTTGAAATTCCCGGCGCGCATCCCCGCCCTGTTATGTAAAGGTGTCCCCCGAGGGGTGATGATACGTGCAGCACACTTGAAATTTAGCAAGGACAAAATTTGATGTGATTTTTGGTGGAGAGAAACAAGCCATGACTCCACCCAACATTGTAAAATCAACGATATCTGTTAGTGTCTCAAAGATTCCGGCACGCAACAAAATAAGATCAACTTCATTTTCTGGACCTGAAAAATTGCAACTCCGCAAGTCACATGAAATGCCTTTATACAACTATGCAAGGGAACGACTTGAGATATGCAACTTCGGTCTTCTCGATAACTAAACCCACAAGTTCCACCAGCGAACAATTTAAATGGACAGCAAATCTCCATGTTAGCATGTGAGGTAAGACGCTATTACAACAGATCAATTAACTAAATCAGTGTGTAGCTTGTCAATCAAATTGAATTTTGTAACCATTCTTCGACTTCCGCCGACAAGGGAATCATTGATGGATCTGGACATTTTAGTTTTCTGAAAGCAGTAATTCGTGAAAGGTTTTTTAGAAACCATGCAAAGTGGAAAAAAAAACCATCTCTTGGTATTTCGGAGGTTGATTCATCTTTGAATTTGTAAGTGTCACGCTTGCCATGCAACTGATATAATCAGATGGAGAAGATATATAAACTGGAACTCAAATCTGGCCGGAATGTGGTAGAGCATAATGCGATCATCAAAACAGCTAATAAAATCATAAATAAACAAGCTCAGAGTGTTATATTAGATTTTTTTTACAAATTGTAGTAATTTATGCCAGTAAACGGCGACAAGTAGGCACGCCATGTATATTTCACAGTCGCTAGCAAGTACATTTTGTCGGACTTTGAGTTCGTTTCAAGATAGAACAACACAAATGCACAAGGACATTTTTACACTAAATTTTTAACCATCCTTTTGGCTTTTAAAAGCTTGAAACTCAGTAAATTCTGTTATATCGGTCATTGTGAAAACTGTCTTTGTTTTGATGCTACTTTTCGACACAGGATAAGTATGTCGGACAAAAGTATTAACCAAAAAATAACTATTTCTCTGCCAGCTTCAATAATGACAGGGGATTAAGTTTAGAAAATAAAAAAGGATTATGTTAACAGAAATACCGGAGGTCAAGTACATTCGTTATATGAGTTCACACAACTCCGGTAATATTCACGGTGAAAATGTGCATATTTGAGCGATCGAACGAAAAAAATTATTTCTCGAAAACTAAAATATATTTTCACAAAAAAAACTACACCACAACAATTGGGCTATAAAATATGAAAGTGGAGTTAAAAGCGAATTTTGGGTGACTTGCCGCTGTTTGTCTGATGCACGCTGACATTAGCTCTTAGGGCGTTGAGAAAGATGGGAAAGGAAATATTCAAAAACTCTTCCAAAGCAAGATACTGTAACCATTTTTTTTCAATAGTGTTTTCATAGTCCAATTAATCACACAAATCCTTACAGGTAGTTACAGCGACACCTCGTTAAAACTCTTGTTTTACTTCCATATAATTTCTTTTTTAAGTGATATTTTTTATTTTTCTTAGTGAAATTTAATACAACCAGGCACAACTTTGGGGGGTTTTCCCTGGGGTTTCCGGTAATCAGTGTATCAAAAGGAGCGGGCGTGGAAGTTAGTGGTGAAAAAGGAATTGAGTTTCTGATTAAATAAATCATGTACACCTTTGAATGAGTATGGATGATAGGAAAGTCTTAGCCTATTAGATTATGGATATTTCTGAATTGTTACTTCGACATCATGTAAAGTAAACACAATGTCGCTGAATGGGGTGATTTTCAACAGAGTGGGGAAAGTAACGCTACTTTGCTTTGGTTTTGCCTTACTTTGCAATGTGATTGGTGTAGAACGGAAACTCGCGCCATACTTTAAATCTGTAAGATTGAAAATCAAATCCAATCGCGATCTTGTCACTTTCGTTTTCTCACGCTTTGGGAAGATAACCTGTTTTTTACTCCTTCTCCTGATTATACTCTTACTTTTATTTTACTTTAATTTTGGTTTTACAACACTCAACTGAAATGCTTTCTGAGAGAAAACCCAGTTGACTGGGCATATTTAAAAAAAAGATATTTACGTTCATCTACTTAATTGTTCTTCGTCTCGTTTCTGATATACATTATCTCTTATCTACTTCACCAACACTCCTGTTGATCAAATAACTTTTCGTTTTCCCTCTTATATCTGACACTCCCAGTAGTGTATGTAGCAATACATCATTGGTTCTCCAGTTGTTAGGGTACCTTCGCAAGAGCAATCGTAGGATCTTTTTCCACCTGAAATAGTACTTGATAATTTAACAGCTTTCGCGTCGTTTGTATCACAGTTTACGCCAATAAAGATTTTACCCTGGCAGGAAAAAAAAATATATAATGATGATACTGATGATAATGATAAACTACGTCAAGAGTTCGAAAAGCAGATGAGCAAAACATTTCTTTCCTCTCCAATGGGTGTACACACGACGTGACGAAAGCTGACGCCTACAATCTGGGCAATACTTATTGTGAGTTTTCCATGCCGAAATCGGATATCACAAATACAGCCTACACGTTTTTTTTTGTTTTTTGTTTTAATGATGATGGAAATTTAAGACTTAAAATGAGAGGAAATTAGCTTTGATTCTCCAAATCGATGCGGCCTATGGCTAGAAAGTAATTACTCAACTTTATGACTTTAAGGGAGGCTTTACGACATCTGGACAACTCCTTCGACCGATACACATTGTCTTGAGTGTTAATATGTCGTAAAGTAATTTTCAATAGAAGATAGAGATTTTATTTTCGTTTTTCAGAATCAAACAACTTTGACAATCTTTAACTCAACATACATTTTGTTCCGTCGCTGTAATTTTTTGGATGATCAACGAGGATGCTGGTAGGCCAAGGCTAGATAAAGTCTTAAAAACACAGGAACTGGCCCCAGGTCCAGGTGGACCCTGGGTACCATTGAACCCAGATGGTCCACGAAGACCCTGTACACCAGGTAGTCCAGATGGTCCTGCAGGGCCCTGAGTACCATTATATCCTGGAGGTCCGGCAGGTCCGGCAGGTCCAATATCACCCTTAGTACCATTATATCCCGGAGGTCCGGCAGGTCCGGGAGTTCCGGCAGATCCAGTGTCACCATTAGTACCATTGACTCCAGGTGGTCCTCTGATGCTCGTGCTGCCAGTAGTATTTTTCACCTACACAATTTAAAAAAAATAACAATGATATTCACAGTAACCACTGCAATGACGATAATCATGAAAATGATTACAATTGTAGTGATAATGACAATTAGCACAGTTACAATAAGAATGACGGTGACAGTGACAGTGAAAGTGACAAAGTGAAAGTGACAGTGACGTTGACCGTGACAATGATAGTAAAAGTGAGTGAGGTGACAGTGATAGTAAAAGTGAAAGGGAAAGTGACAGTGACAGTAACAGTGATAATGACGGCGACAGTAACAATTATAGTAAAAGTGAAGGGAAAGTGACAGTGGCAGTTACTGTGACAGTGAAAGTGACAGTGACAGTGGCAGTGGTAGTGGCAGTAACAGTAACACTGACGGTGACAGTGATAGTAACAGTGACAGTTGGAGTGATAGTGGCAGTGACAGTTAATGTGACAATGACAGTGACAGTGACAGTAGCAGTGGCAGTGACAGTGTATGTAACAGTAAAAGTGATAATGACAGTGACAGAGACAATGACAGTGACAGTGACAATGAAAGTGACAGTAACAGTGACAGTGAAAGTGGCTGTGGCACTGCCAAAATGGGAGGCTCTTATATGAAAAGTTGTATAGAAGGAAAACAACATTGACTTAAGTTGGTTGTGAGAAATGCACAGTTTGTTTTCATTTTTTTTTTATTTACATTAGAGACCTTTATCATACTTATTTGCTCTTTATAGTTTGGACTGATAAAGGAATGGTCACCAAAGATCAATCGATCTGTCTATAGGCTTACACCACACCATCCCTTATCACTGATATATCTATACCTTAACTCTTGGAAGTTAATCACACTAGATCGTTCTTATTTTTGACTCAATCACACGTTTTTGTGCTCTTCCGCCTCTCAAAAAGGCTCTTTAAGCCAGTACATACAGTCGATTTGAAGAACTTTTTGAACAATAAGCTAAGTTGTAGCTTAAAAGCTTAAAATTAGATTAAAAAAAGTATCCCCTGCCATTCCACAGACATAAAATAAAAGTAAACAGGTCATTTTGAAAACAAATTTAGAATTTGCTGGGGTAGCATTGCTTGAATTTGAATGTTCAACACTGACTCTTGCAAACTGTGAGGGGTCATGCATTTGACAATCTTTGAAAATCCCCTTTAACTCACGATGAAAAACAGTCTCTGTTTTTGCAATAGGTTTAGAGGCATATCTGTACCATGCACTTTGTGATGACCATTAAGTAGCTTAAATTCAATTGAAAGAGACCATGATATTGTGCAGCTTAGGGCAGTGACTTAGCATTGCGAGATATCTCAAATCAGGTCTCTGATTGGTTGATTCAAAATTCGGTATGAAATGGCACACAAAAATACATTCAGGTATATGTACCTTTTGATCCAGTTGCATGATTCTTTGTTGGAAATGCAGAAACCTCTCATTTACACTTGTATTCAGACCAATCAAAACTTGAGCAGCATGCTGTACTGCAAGATGGATATCCTCTAGCTCTGTATTTTTGCCCTAAAAATAAAACAGACCAAATTATTGTGTTAGAGAATAAGTGGGCCTACTAAAGTTGGTGAAATAAGTAGAGAAGTCCACGTTTTGCTTTTGAACATAATGATGATAGGGACTGTAACAGTGAGGGATTCAGATAACGATACATTGGTATTGGAACTTACCTCATGTTTCATGTTTTCCATATCTTTTTTCATGTGCCATTAAGTAAGCAACTCGTGTTAAACTAAGTGCACTAATAGTAATTTTTTCCTAAATATATAGATAGAACTGGAAATGGATGAATTTAAACTTGCCTTTATCGCTAGCTCCTCTAACACTGCTGAGACCTAACACAAGGAGGAAAAGAAAAGAAACTACTCAACATCATATCATTTTTTTCATGAATGGTTTATTGTTATTGATGATTTACAATCATTATCATTATTGTAATTATTAACATTAAGATGATCATTAAGATTATTACAGGAAGAGGAATGAATGGCAAACTTACATTTTTCTTTAGTTCTTTTACATCCCCTGAAACCTTTAACAATAAAAAATTGTAAATCAATATTCCTGATCAAGGAATCACCATCAGTCACTCTGGCCTCCTGAGCAAGCTTTCAACTTACGGAGTTCGTGGAACAGAACTCGCATGGTTCACTGATTACCTTTTCTGCAGATCACAAGTTGTCCAATATAAAGGCGTGCTATCAGAACCTCAACCCATTCTCACAGGTGTTCCTCAGGGAAGTATCCTGGGTCCTATCTTATTCATTATCTTTTTCAACGATGTACATAAACCGCTTCAACACTCGAAGATTATCACTTATGCCGACGATTCAGTCATCTATACCTCTTCTAAAGATATTGATACTATACAGAGAAGCCTTAGCGAGGATATGAATAACCTGTGCGAGTGGTTTAAAGACAACGAACTGATCATTAACCTAAAAAGGACAAGACGGAGTCTATGTTATTTGGAACAGCTAAAAGAATCAACCTTCAAGACAAGGAACTTAAACTTTCTGCTAATGGGTCACTCATCAATAATACCTCTACCTATAAGTACTTAGGTGTTCACCTTGACTCATCACTAAACCTCGCATCACATTTTGACCGAATCTATAAAAAGCTGCAACCAGAATCAATCTCTTGCGATCAATTCGTCCTTTGATCGACCAAAAGTGTGCAGAATCGATCTATAACACTATGATCGCACCTATCTTTACCTATTGCGGAACACTTGGTCTTAGCTTTCCGGATTACCGAAAGGAAATGATAAAGAACATCGAACGACGAGGCTTTAAAGTTATCGGCAATAGTTCTTTTAATCCCCCATCCGTGAACAATTTGATCAAGCGTAAAAGCTGTCTGTTTGTTTTCGACTGTCTCCTGAATAATGTTTGCACACCCTTTAAGAACTACTTCGAAAGGCTGGTTCATTCTAAGGCCACTAGGAATAACGGTATATCAGTGAAATTACCCAAAGTTCGTTTAGAATTTGGTAAAAAGAGCTTCTATTACCAAGGAGCAAAGACTTTCAACAACCTGCCTGCTGAACTAAGGTCGTTAGATTCGAGACTGAAATTTAAGAACAAATTGCGAGATTATTTTAGTTAAATTCTATCTAAACGTGGTTATAGGTATCTTTTTCAGAGTATTTTTATTTAATTCTTAATTTTTTCATTTTATTGTATGCTTTTCTAGACCTTAAGATCAATGATTATATCTTGTTAAATTTTATTTTATTTATTTATTTATTATTTTTGACAGGACCCCAAGGACAACAGTGTTACACACTGATGGGTTTCAATCCTGTATAAAAATTCGTTATTATTATTATTATTATTATTATTAAGTTTCTTGGTAAAATAATACTTTCTTGTAATTTCTTATTTCTAATGATCAAATGATGATGATGGCTATACAGGTGTGCACTTTGCATGATAGGGTTCGAACCGCTATGCTTCCAAAGTTGGTCCAAAAAATTACGAGAATACTTATAATGTCTGCAACAATGACACCCAAGATGGCCTATCGTAAGGTTCATCAGGCTTCTCCACAACAGCCTCGGCTGATCAGAAATAACATTTAGATTGCCCCATTGAAAAAGTTAAAGCAGAAGTGCAAAGTGCCTCCAGCCTGCTCTCTATGAAAGTATTAAAGCTCTGTTTAAAATCTATATTTCTATAAAATATGACTAATTATCAGCGAGTTAAAAGTCCTTTTGAGGCCCTTAGTCTTATGTACAAACATGTACCCATGTATTTCACATCAGTGCATTTTGCTTTTAACTGATTACTGATAAAGATTAAGAATTACCCCTACCGAGTAATCTCTGAATGCAGAGAGGTTCCTTTTCAACTCTTGTACATCCTTTTGAAGTTCTGACGTTTCTAGAAAAAGGGGAGACAATAAGAAAAACAGAAAATGTAAACAAAAAATAATGAAGGATTTCAAATGAAAAGATGAAGAGATGGATAAATAGATAAAAGATAAATATCAATAAACACGTGTTAAAACTTCATACACTGATAGGCAGGGAGAAATAGGACCAGCTTATTTTATGTTATTAACTATAATTGCAAACAATCTCTATCTAGAGAATTATTTGTTCAATTCTGAAAAAATTCGTAAGTAAAAGGCCTTTTTTTCTGCGTGCTATATAAGTTAACGATCTTTCCAAGTTAGTGCATCATTCGTAAGAAGGAAGGTTCATTGTATGCCTATAATAACAGCACTATATTTACGAGAAACAATGTCAAAATTCAGAAGTTAAATAAAATTTCGATCTGCAACTGGAAAAGAGTCGATTATGGCTTGAAGCAATTTAGGTTCCTTCGAATTTGACAAAGGTTTATTAGTAACGCTTCACCCCACGAATTTTGGATGAGATTCTGACCAACATTCTATGCTGAAGTCCGGATTAAAGATGAGACAGAATACGAACTACATTCGCTTCGCATTATGCAGGTATCACTCGACAAGTATCTCCGCCGAAAAAAATGATTAGGCATCCATTATCTGCGGGCGAGAGTTCAAGAAGTCTCAAGAGACTCTTACTTCCAAAACAAAATGTCTGAGATACCAAGGCAAAGGAAAATGGCTTAACAGAGCTCAGCCGCACGCTCACGTAGACGAAGAATTATTTTGGAGTGAAGGAAAATTAGTAAGTCATAATGGTGTTGCCATTACAAGCGTCAACTTTAAAAATATGGCAGAGCTCTTGGTTTCAGAGGCCAACACGACCCTAACAATGCGTTCAAGATTTTTCCATTTTGCAAATGGCAGATGGTAGCAAAGTTGTTCAGTTTGAAAAAAAACCAAACAAAACCAGGCAAGGTGGATTGAGAAACAAAACCCGAAGTTTCCCTCGCAAAATGTGGTCTACCGACGGTGATGAATGGGATCTCATACGACTTTTCGAAGAGTGGCCTGCATGTCGACACCGACCAATTGAAAATTCCGGCCCTTTGTACCTTGCAATTATTTCAGGGCCCTCCAAAAGTGTTGGTAGCCCAAATCTAAAATGGATGAGCATCGAATTGGCCAAATAATGAAATCAGTTGCAAGTTGTTTACCAGAGGAGCGTGCCAAGAAAATAACAAACCATTCCACAAGAAAAACGGTCGTTGCGAAATTAAAAGAAGCGGGCCAACCACTTCATAAAATTATCCAAGTTACTGCCAGAGAGTCTTCGCTGGATGATTGTGACAAAACTACGGAGAGCGAACGATAGCAATTGTCTTGTATAACAAGCGGGTATGCCGCAACATCGACTTTATCAGTGATAGTTCAAAGGTCGATCGCCGGCAATTATTTCTTCCTCTTGTCTAGGTCCAGGAGATACAAACATGAAAGAAAACATCCAGCTAATCTTTATGGGTCAGGCAATATGCCTCCTTTCTTCACACCATCATAGTCTGTCACAATGGCAATAAAAATTCTCCAACAGGCACCTTGTCAAGTGTTCACGTTATTGTTTGAGTCGAACACACACCGGTTGCCTTCTGGAGATTCCTCGCGAAGCAAAAGACGAGGGAAGAGGCTCGTAATCATCGACTTGGACTCAGATTAGTCGATTGATATAATTCCAAGAGATTCTTTAAAAAAAGGTGTATTGCTTTCTTTTGTTTCTAGAGACAGCTGTAGTAGATGTATGCCGACTGTTTTTCGAAACTTACCACAGCGCGATTTTTAAATTCGGTGAATTTTTCGTTCCTTGGCTGTAACGCCTGGTTGATTATTTAATTGATTGATACGACTGGTTGTGCTAAGTAATCGTTTTGCTTAAGTGGTTTTTAGACTTTTTTTTTCTTTTTTTTTCATCTCTGCTATAAAAGCCGTTTTTAAACGTTGCATTTCGCTTTTGTCGAAGATTTTAATGATCATGATTTGTATAATCATTATTAAAAGCCCTCTCTCATATAAATATTTTTGTTTTTTTCCCTAAATTGTAATGGTCATCATTAATTGGCAACAGGACTTAGAGTCGTCCAATTCTGTCAGTAACGATACGAGTGATTGACAATCCATCTTATGATCACGCACCAAATTGGACTCCACTCGGTCCTATTACCATTTTTAATTATCTACATGGAACTTTGAATTTTCTTGGTATGTATCTTGATCAAAATTTCAATTTCAAATTTTATAAGGGGGGCGGGGGAGGAGGTTGATTTTTATGTTAATAAATGAATTCACGGGTTTAATTCCAAAAGCCCCATTGAAAATATGAACAGTCATGCCTTTCACTATTGATATTTTTTATAACCTCATCTTTTGTCAGATACTATTACGCATATTTTTTGTGCTCCGACTAACAATTTTAGATATTGGAAAGAGATGAAAAATGGTCAAAGTTCTCAATTCAATGACTCGGAGCGTTTCCGTCACTTACAGTGTCTTCGGCCTTTCATACTTCATGATACTAACTTGGTGTTAAGTGGCTCACATCATCAAGATTCCCTTTTGAAAAACGCACTTTATATGTCAAAGATAGATTATTCGCTATTTAAATACGATATTTTCCCTCTTTTCCTAAGCAACCGTGACAACATCCTGCATATCACAGAATGTGTTATTTAATTGGAAAGCTCAGTTGTTACAACTTAGCCTTATCTAAATATCAAATAATGTAGACGCAATAGGAATGCCCTTGTTGTTCATGATTACGGATAAGTATTATGATGGACGGATTTCCCCTTCTATAACAATTTTTCTTAGAAATCCTATACTAATCATATGTGGAGGGAAAGCTCTGGTAATAATAGCAATACTCAAATCATATCGAAACGGAAATTCCTCAAATTTCCTCTTTGGACAGGAAATGTTCAGGACCGAAGTGAATTATCTTTTTTTTCTTCATCCTGTCGTTTAATTAGTGCACCTTTTCAATCACTTTTAAGATTTGAATGGATCAAGACCTACAAGTGTTTTTAAACACTTGTCAAATACTTACAACAGGGAGAAGCAATGGTAGCCGTACCTGTAGAAACTTCGCTCCGTGCCGTAATGATTGTCACAGCTAAAACCAAAGTGGCAAGGGCTGTTAAGAGCGAAGCAACAGCAATGGCAGATACGATTAAGAATAATAGGTGATGTTTCACTGTATCAGAATCTTTACACAGCTGTGTTTCCACCTTCGGCTTTGCCTGAGGAGTGTCCTTTCTGAAAACTAAATCGTCACACCTCTCGGCGTGATCTTCCTGTTTAGATTCCATTTCGAAATAAATGTTCTCCCGCCCGACCTCGGTCTTTGTATCCATTATTGCGTGGTATAATTGTGACTTTTGTGGAACAGATAAACTTTAGACGCTTCTGGAGGCGAAACAAGCTTAGGCAGGCCAAAAAGATGCTGAAATGTGATGCGATCATATGATCATTACTGACGAATGACAGAGCGAAGAATGACTGGTGCGTTAGCCGTCTCAAAATAGGATAATGACAGGAAGTATTTGTTTCGACGTAAGTTTATAGATTGTGCAATAAAAGATTGAACTGACCTTAAATGACGAAATTATTATTGAACAAAATGATTATGCTATCTTGATAGTGATCTAGGTTATCACTATCGACCCGCTTTCCAAAACTTTCTTACCTTTAATGATCCACTGGTTTCGTAGAGGCCACCTCTGATTACATTCAATGCTAAGGTAATTTGAGAAGTGGCATGGAATATTTTCCGAAATGGCAACTTTTAATTTCAACTGAATGCTATAAAGGCGTTGAGAAGGATGGGAAAAGAAGTATTCAGAAACTCTTCCAAAGTAAGGTACTGGAACCATTTTTTCAACATTGTTTTCATAGTCCCATCAATCACACAAATCCTTACCTATGGCGACACCCTTTTTTTCCCTTTTTAAGCATAATGCAGTCAACTCAGTGTTTTCGCTTTCGAATTAAGCATTATTTGAATGTCTAAAGCTAGCTTTCTTTTTCTTCAGGGGGTTGGAGGGGGGAGATGAATTTTGTGTAAAACCCACTCAATCCATTCGACTCGATCGGAAGAAGGGACATCATTTTACCGCTTCACGAAGTTCCTCAGTCCCAAAGGGTTTCACCAAGCATTATGAAATAACCATTGCTCAAGGCTGTGCTTATGTCCTCACTGCTGCTTTATTGTTAATTGAACACTTTATACATTTGAATCATTAAAATAAAAACCTTATCTTTGTTCGGCTGAAGAACAGTATTTTGTTCACTAAAGTGTCCATAATTACCAAGAAATGTGTGAGAAGAGTAAATGTGACCTTTACATACTAGATGAAAATAATACACAAAACTGAAGAGAAGGCATGTTGTTAAGTTAAAACTTTTATTTCTTGCAGCGAAGCAGCGAAGCAGTTAAAAGTGGGTTGTTGCTTCAACGCTATTAAAATGTATAGTATTCAGACAGGAAAGCAAAGTGCGATGCTCTGAGAATAAAAACTGTTAGGGGCCTTTAATACGATATCAGAATGAGTGTTGTTCAAGAACGAGTTCATACATCAGCAAAATTCCCCAATACCCCAAGAGATAAAAAAAAAACAAAACAAACAAAAGAAAAACAAAACAATGCAAAAAAAATTTGTGTTCAGTGAGATATCAAAGTAGAAGCAAATGAGGTAAAGAGGGTTTTAATCTTCGTTGGGTTGAGGTCAAACCTAAATTGAATTTTTCTTACCTTTGATAATTAACTGGTTTTGTAGAGGCCACCTTTTGATTGCATTAATGCTCGCAATCTCTATTTAATTTGAGGGGTGGCATGGAACATTTTTCAAAATAGCTATTTTAATTTCAATATAATGCTACACGCACACGAGAGAGGATGTCAGCATCCATCGAACAAATTTGGCAAGTGGCCCATGTCGATTTCACCCCTACTTTTATATTTTGTAGCCCAATATGTGCTAGTATTTGTGGTGTAGTTTTTGTGTGAAAATATATTTTAGTTTTCGAAAAATGAGTTTTTCGTTCGACCGCTCAAATGTGCACATTTTCACCGTGAATGTTACTCGAGTGTGACCTCATGTAACGAATATACTTGAACTCCGGTATTTCTGTCAACACTTTATGCTCGTCAATCAAATTGACTTTTGTAACCTTTCTTTGACTTCCGCCGGCAAAGGAATCATTGATGGATCTGGACATTTTAGTTTCCTGAATGCAGTGATTCCTGAAGGGTTTTTCTAGATATCATGCAAAGAGGCAAAAAAACCATCCCTTGGTATTTCGGAGGTTGATTCATCTTTGAATTTATATGTTTCACGCTTGTCATGCATCTGACATAATAAGATGGAGAAGATATATAAACTGGAACTTCAATCTGGCCGGAATGTGGTAGAGCATAACGTGATCATCGAAACAGCTGATAAAATCATAAATAACCAAGCTAAGAGTGTTATGTTAGATTTTTTTTACAAATTGTAGTAATTTATGCCAGTAAACGGTGGCGAGAAGTAGGCACGCCATGTATATTTCACAGTCGCTAACAAGTAAATTTTGCCGAAATTTGAGTTTGTCTCAAGATAGAACGACACAAATACCCAAGGACATTTTATTTCCATATAATTTCTTAATAAAAGCTAAGTTTTTCGTTTGTCTCACGATGTAGTCACGTGTGATGTAGATCGCGTCGTTTCGACTGCATACTGCTAGTCTTCTTCAGGCGATGAGGTCGACTGGTCACATGTGTGATCTTATAAAGCACGATGCTCTGCTGTGATTAGTTCTTTTTTAACAGCTCTGATTGGTGTATTTCGATCCTTGTTGTTTCATTCAGTGATTTGCTCCCGTAATAAACTTTACTTCGTTCCAGAGTGGCTTGTGTCCGGTGTTGTGGGTATGCTCTAAAACGGCGGAGATCTCGGTACGGGCGATTGGGTCGGAAAATGGGCAAGAATTTAGTTTAATGTCAGGAGAGAGGTCGTTTTTGAACCTTTTCCGCGATAGTCGAACACTGCTAGATTCAATAAGGGACAAACTTGTGACACTAATTTATTTTGTTATTGTTCAATGCCCGAGTGATGAGACAACATGGTATATTGCGAGTTGTGCGAGGAATGGTTACTGAAGAAATCGTTCACGCTGTTTTATAACTAAGTTAATCAGTGACTTCGGACACTGCGTTTTGTTCGACATATTCTTGTTTAACCGGTTTTATCACGTGCGTTTTTTTGTAATAAGATCCTGATTTCGTTTTAAGAGTCTCAATGTTTTTCGATCGAGCGAATTGATGTATGAGTGATATACACATGAGCTTCGAGAGATTTAAGAATGCCCCGGAGGGCGAGTGGCTCTGCATTGTCTGCAGATCGCCAGACTCTAGACGTCTTCATAATTGTTAAGGTGTTATTTTGGATCCCTCAACAGTTAATAATCGTTAAAATTAGAAAATGAGATTGAGTTCGATGTAATAGTCTCCAGTTTGGTTAAGACGTAGACATTAAAGTTGATTTGCATCTGAAAATAAGCTGAGAGTTCCAATAGTTCAGAATAGAATCATTTTACTTATCATAGGCTTTACGAACGACTTGTAGTAAGAGTGGTTTCTTCGTTCTTGTTCAGAAACTGTTTAATGTTATTATTTTAGAAAATCAGACTGAGTTATTTTTCTGACTAGACGCAATAGTCTCCACTATTGTTATGGCGTTTCGTACCGATGCTGATTCGCACCAGAAGAAGCAAAGATTTATTGTAACTATTTCAATAGTTCGAATGCAGTAGTTTGTTCACATCTAATTCTTGCTTATACTGTACGACTCGCTGTAATAAATGTGGTAGAACTGGAACGAAATAGCCGGTTTTTTTTTTAACCTTTATTGAGGAATGTTGTTTTGTGATTGAGAGGAACATCGACAAAAAGTTTGCAAATAGAATTATTTACCAAATATGATACAAAGGATGCTTAAAAGGAAAGTTTGGTAGGGGGTCCAACTCTGCGAAGGGGGGTCCATATCCGCTAGCGGATTTAAACCGGGGGTCCAAATCCGCGGGGGGTCCAAATCCGTGGGGGGTCCAAATGCGCGGGGGTCCAAATCCGCTGTAACACCGGCAATTATTTCTTCCTCTTATCTCGGCCCAGAAGATATAAACATGAAGGAAAACATCCCAGCTAATCTGTATGGGTCAGGCAATAATAATAATAATAATAATAATATACAGTATTTATAGAGCGCTAATTCCCAATGGTCCAAAAGCGCTTTACATAATAAAAATAACAAAATCCTAAACCTACAAAACTACATTGTCATTCTATAAAAATTCCCAATGGTCCAAAAGCGCTTTACATAATAAAAATAAGAACAAAATCCTAAACCTACAAAACTACAAAACTACACTGTCATCCTATAAAAACATCATCATTCTATACAACATCATAACCAATTTTAAAAATGTGTACAATATGCCTCCTTTCTTCATACCATCACAATCTGTCACAATGGCAACAAAAACTCTCCAACAGGCACCTTGTCAAGTGTTCAACCAGTGTGTGCTCGACTCAAACAACAACGTGCCTTCTGGAGATTCCTCGCAAAGCCAAAGACGAAGGAAAAGGCTCGTAATCATCGACTTAGACTCAGATTAGTCGATTGATATAGTTACAAGAGATCTTTTCAAAAAAGCTGTAGTAGATGTATGCAGACCGTTTCTTCGAACCTTACAACGGCGCAATTTTTAAATTCTATGAATTTTTTGTTCCTTGGCTGTAACGCCTGGTTGATTAATTGATTGACACTTTTTAAACGTTGTATTTCGCGTTTGTCGAAGATTTTAATGATCATGTTTTGGATAATCATTATTAAAAGTCCTTTCTCATATAAATATATATTTTTTTTTTTGTTTGGTTTTTTTTCCCGAAATTGTAATGGCCATAATTAATTACCAAGAGGACCTAGTGTCGTCCAATTCTGTCAATAATGATACGAGTGATTGACAATTTGAATTTTTATAACCTCATCTTTAATTTTATCAGATTTTATTACGCATATGGTTTACTTTTCGTGCCCCGACTAACTATTTTAGACATTGGAAAAATATGAAAAATGGTCAAAGTTCTCAATTCAATGACTCGGAGAGTTTGCATCATTCACAATGTATTCGGCCTTTGCATACTTCATGATACTAACTTGGTGTTAAGTGGCTCATCAAGATACCCTTTTGAAGAACGCACATTACATGTCAAAGATAGATTATTCGCTAGTTAAATACGATATTTTCCCTCTTATCCTAAGCAACCGTGACAACATCCTGCATGTCACTGAATGTGTTCTTCAGTTGGAAAGCTCAGCTGTCACAACTCCGCCTCATCTAAATATTAAATCATACAGGCACAGTAGGGATGCCCTTGTTATTCATGATTACGGATAAGTATTATGATAAACGGATTTTCCCTATAAACAGTTTTCTTAGAAATCATATAGTAATCATAAATGCGGGGAGAGCTCTGGTAAATGAAGGTCAAATAAGCAAAACTATGTACGAAATTCTTCAAGAAATTAATTTTTTTATTCGGGAGTAGAATTTTTTATGCGAGAGTGGTCTCTCGATAAATTGGGCTTTTTACTGAAAAAGAATATAGCTTTTGCTTAGGGTCCAGTTTTGTGGAATCTTAATAATAACAATACTCAAATCATATCGAAACGGAAGTTCCACAAATTTCCTCGTTGGACAGGAAATGGTCAGGACCGAAGTGAATTATTTTTTGCTTCATCGAGTCGTTTAATTAGTGCACTTTTTCAATCACTTTTAAGATTTGAATGGATCAAGACCTACAAGTGTTTAATACTTACAACTAAATCGTCACACGTTTCGGCGTGATCTTCCTGTTTAGATTCCATTTCGAAATAAATGTTCTCCCGCCCGACCTCGATCTTAGTATCCATTATTGGGTGGTATGATTGTGCCGTTTGTCGCTTCTGGGGGCGAAACAAGCTTGGGCAGGCCAAAGAGATGCTGAAATTCGATGCGATATGATTTTATGGTCATCACTGAACAATGAGAGAGCGAAGATTGACTGGTGCGTAGGCCGTCTGAAAATAGGATAATGACAGGAAGTATTTGTTTCGACGTAAGTCTATAGATTGTGCAATAAAAGATTGAACTGACCTTATATGATGATGAAAGCATTATTGAATAAAATGATTATGCTGTCTTCGTATTGATCCAGGTTATCACTATCGACCCCACACCCCAGTGTACAGTGAGATATCAAGGTAGAATCAAATGAGGTATAGAGGGTTCCCTCTGGATGTTTTAGTCTTTATGGGCTGAACTCAAACCTAAATGAAAATTTCTTATCTTTAATGATCCACTGGTTTCGTAGAGACCACCTTTAATTACTTTTGATGCTAAGGTAATTTGACAGGTGGCATGAAACATTTTCCGAAATAGCTACTTTTAATTTCAAACAAACACCGTAAAGACGTTGAGAAGGATGGGAAAGGAAATATTCAGAAACTCTTCCAAAGCAAAATATTGTAACCATTTTTTCAGCCGATGATTGTTTTCATAGTCCCATAAATCACATAAATCCTTACCTGTGGCGGCACCCTTTTTTCCTTTTTTAACATAATGTAATATTTGGAAATTTCAAATGCATTCAACTGTTTTCGCTCTCGAATTAAGCACTATTTGAATGTCCGAAGCCGAGCTTTCCTTTTTCTTCAGGGGTTGGAGGGGGGAGATGGAGTTTGTGTAAAATTCACCCAATCTATTCGACTCGGTCGGAAGAAGGGACACCATTTTTACCTCTTCATAAAGATTCTCAGTCCCAGAGGGTTTCACCGAGCATTATGAGATGACCATCGCTCAAGGCTGTCAGCACTTCGACTACAATATAGTACAACTTATGTCCTCACTGTTACTTTATTGTTAATTGATTACTTTATGAATCTGAATTATTAAAATATCTAACACCTTATCTTCGTTCGGCTAAATAACAGTATTTTGTTCCCTAAAGTGGCCAGGATTCCCAAGAAATGTGTGAGCAGAGTAAATGATACCTTTACATACTAGATGAAATACATACACAATACGGAAGAGAAGGCATGTTTTTAAGTTAAAACGTCAATTTCTTCATATCAGGTTACCTTTTAGAACCATGTCTCCGACAGTTTTAACATGTCAGTCGCTGAAGTCGCGGTGCTATCCACTTGTGGCTGCTAATAATCCTTTTTAACTTACAAATACTTTTTTGTCCGTTTAGTACAAAATATGACGTAAAACAAATATGTTTGGATGCTAGCCCAAGGGATTGAAGTCTACATTTGGCATTGGTTAAAAATATCAGTGCGGATTTAAATATGAGAAAGCAACAGTTCGTAGTAACGCTGAGAGAATTTCTGGGTAACATGACTACTAAGTTATACAAAACTTTCTTCCACTTCTATCCTTAACGCCATCTCGTTGAAACTCCTGATTTACTCCTATATATTTTCTCTTTAAGTAATAATTTGAATTTCTTATACTGAAAGTTGATGTAGCCAGGGACATTTTCTCGAAATCGGTTTCACGCAAGAAATTAATCATGATTAGATGATACACGTTTGTGATGGTAAGGGCGTAACCCGGCGGGTGGGGGGTTTGCCCTGGGGTTCCAGGGTACCCTTGTACCTGTAAGCCTCGCAAGGGCAAAAGGGGCGGACGCGAAAGTTAGTGGTGAAAAAAAAAACAGCGTTTCAGATAAAAAAAATTATGTACACCTTTGAATGAGTTTGGATGACAGGAAAGTCTTGGCTTATTAACTCTGACATCATGCAAAGTAAAGACAATGTGGCTAAATAGGGTGACTCTCGACTGAGTGTGGGAAGTAATGCAACTTTGCTTTGATATAACATCACTCCGCATTGTGATTGGTCCAGAAAACTCGCGCCATCCTCTTTCTCACGCTTTGAGCAGATAACCCGTTTTTACTTTTATTTTACTTTGATGTTAGTTTTACAACACTCGACTGAAATGCTGTCTGAAAGAAAACCCAGTTTACTGGGCATATTTGAAAAAAAGTATCTACGTTAAACCACTAATTGTTCTTCGTCTCGTTTCTGATTCAACACAGTATTATCTTCTACACAAAGACTCCTGTTTATAAATTGGCTTTCTGTTTTTCCTCTTATAACTGACACTCCCAGTAGTGCATGTAGCAATACATCTTTGCTTCTCCAGTTATTAGGGTACCATAGCAAGAGCACTTGTAGGTTCTCTTTCCACCTGAAATGGTGCTTGCTAATACAGCAACTTTCGCGTCATTTGTATCACAGTTTACGCCAATAAAGATTTTACCCTGGCAGGAAAAAAAAGAATATAATTATGATACTGATGATAATGATAAACTACGTCAAGAGTTCGAAAAGCTGATGAGCAAAACATTTCTTTCCTCTTCAATGGGTGTACACACGACGTGACGAAAGCCGACCCCTACAATAATGGGAATACTTATTGTGAGTTTTCCATGCCGAAATCGGAAATCACAAATAAAGCTTTCACGTCTAGGAACGTAAGAAGAGAAAAATCCACGTATTTGCTAATACTGGCCTTTGAATGTACGCTGGATTACTGGTTCCCTCAGCATGCAGGTCGTTCGTGCAAAATCGATTTTTGTTGTCACTTATAAGAGTCATGATATGAAAAAAATGATATTTGCAAACGTTTTTTTGTTCCATGTCAGGCCGAGGATATCATTGCTCAGTGTGGGATTAGAGAAATAACCATATATATACTGAAAGGTATGAAATTGTGGGGAAAAAAAATTTTAAAAAAACCATTCTATCTTACATTAGGCGGCAAAATGAACTTGTCCGACAAGTCCGTGCTGAATTTCATAACGAGTTGTTAAATGTTTTCTTGCTTTCTTTTCTTTTTTCCTTTGTTTGTCTTCCTTTTTCTTTTTTAAATGATGATGGAGATTTACGACCTAAAAAAAAGGAAATTAGCTTTAGCTTTGATTCTCCAAATCGATGCGGCTTATGCAGGGCGTGAAATTAATTTTTTTTTCTGATTATAAAAGCCATTTAGCTACTAAATTCTTCAAAGTGGTAGCCAATTAAAAAAAAAAAGGTTGCCATTTTCAAAGACAAACAAAACCTTTTCTTACGCTGCCATCGTTCTAGAAATTAAGTTTGGGAAAAGATCTTTCACGTGCTACAAAGAGGACACTAGGATGGATAATATGCAACGTTCAAGCTCAACTAAATCCAAGATGGTGTTCAGTTATCGATCGAGATGCATGTGCTGCGTTTTGGAAACAAACTTAACAAGGAAGTTTGCCGCAGATTTATCTTTGCAAATCCTTCTAATTCACTATATCTCTAAGTAAGGTAATAATGAAACATTCTAGTCGCCAATTTGGCGACTAGTTTTCAGGATTTGGTCGCCAAAGTGAAAAATTTAGTCGCATTGGCATCTGTATTAGGCGCAATTTCACGCCTTGCCTACGGCTATAAAGTAATAAATCAACTTTACGACTTTAAGGGAGGCTTTACGACATTTGGACAACTCCTTAGAACGTTAAATATTGTCTTGACTGTAAAAGGCCATTTCCTTGATGCCACGCGCGCCGCGACCCACTTTCCTGTAACACGAAATTCCCAGATCACTGATAACCTTCTAAAATCGTCCTTCTCAAGAGCCATCCTGGACATATAGTCAACTGTTTCACGGCAAATACGTTCGTCATTTTACAGTTTCCTTACAGTATTTTGAATTTTGTCCGGAAGAATCCGAAGAAACCTTTTTTTAAGTGTCACGCTTGGATCTGAACCGTTGGTGAACCGTCCACAGAGTACGAAGAGATCCAAGCGTGACACTTAAAAAAAGTATTTACTCTGTGACAGAGTCGGCGAAAAGGACAACGTTCAATTTTTTTCACTTTCTAGAAGCTCTTAAGGATTCTAAATGAAGATAAAATATTTCCAATAGAAATTGTTATATTTCAAAGAGAAATATGGAAAAATATCAGACTGCCGGACGCTTAGTTATTCGAAGTGTCCGCTGAAAATTTTCTAAGTGTCACGCTTGGATCTCTTCGTACTCTGTGTACAAGGTCAGCGAAACGGATAACGTTGGCATTTTTTCACTTTCTAGAAGCGCTTGAGGATTGTAAATGAAGGTAGAATATTTTTCAACGAAAAACTGGTATATTTCAAAGAGAAATATGGAGTTATTTGAGGACCGTGTCCAGCCGTGTCATTGAAAAGTTTTTATGTGTCAAGCGCTTGGATGGCTTCATACTCTGTATACAGGGTTAGCGAAAAACATCAAGTTCGAAATTTTAGGCTGCCTGAAAGCGCTTGAGGATTGTAAATGAAGGTAGAACATTTCCGTATAAACATTTTTTGATTTCGAAGAGAAATATGGAAAAATATCGGACTTCCGGACGTTTAATTATTTTAAGTTTAGTCGCATCATTACAGGAACGTCAGCGACACAACAAGGATGGCAAACTTCAATTTAAAAAAAATTGATGAATGAATGAAAACGTAGTGGATCAACATTTTCACCTTCTTCCAAATGCTCGCAAGGATTTTCGCGTTCCTCTTTAGCAACAACCGAGCCATAAACGTTTACTGCCTCGGAATCTACTAAATCAATGGATTCATCTGATTCCATACCTGATTAAAACGTATAGAACTGTTTTAGACAGAATTGTTTTGATAAGCTCTTCAAATTCATCGGAGAAAACGCAGAAGGTATTTTGAGACGTGTCAAGGTAAAAATAACTGACCAATCAGAGGTGCTATTTAAACAAAAGCGACCGCGTTGCATCAAGGTTGGAAATGGACCCTTTATATGTCGTAAAGTAATTTTCAATAGAAATTTTTTCTTCCGTCAGAATCGAACAACTTTCACAATCTTCAACTCAACTTACATTTTGTTCCGTCGCTACAATTTCTTGTTGGGTGATCGAACTTGCTGCCACACCAGTGCTGGATAAAGTCCACAGGAACTGGTCCCAGGTCCAGGTGGACCCTGGGTACCATTGAACCCAGATGGTCCACGAAGACCCTGAACACCAGGTAGTCCAGATCGTCCTGCAGGGTCCTGAGTGCCATTAAATCCTGGAGGTCCGGGAGGTCCAGCAGGTCCGGCAAGTCCAATGTCACCCTTTGTACCATTATATCCTGGAGGTCCGGCAGGTCCAGTGTCACCATTAGTACCATTGACTCCAGGTGGTCCTCTGATGCTCGTGCTGCCAGTAGTATTTTTCACCTATGCAATTAAAAAAAACAACAACAACAATGATATTCACAGTAACCACTGCAATGACGATAATAATGAAAATGATTACAATTGTAGTGATAATGACAATTAGCACAGTTACAGTGAGAATGACAGTGACAGGGAAAGTGACAAAGTGACAGTGACATTGACAGTGACATTGACAGTGACATTGACTGTGACAATGAAAGTGAGTGACAGTGACGGTAAAAGTGAAAGGGAAAGAGACAGTGATAACAACAGTGATAGTGATAATGACCGTGACAGTGCGTGACAGTGGCAATTACAATAAAAGTGAAAGGGAAAGTGACAGTGAAAGTGGCAGTTACTGTGACAGTGAAAGTGAAAGTGACAGTGGCAGTAACATTGACAGTGATAGTGATAGTAACAGTGACAGTGGCAGTGAGTTGCACTGACAGTGACAGTGATAGTGACAATGACAGTAGCAGTGAAGGTGGCAGTGGCAGTAACAGTGAAAATAAAAGTAACAGTGACAGTGAAATTGACAGTGGCAGTGACAGTGTAAATGACAATAAAATTAAAAGTGATAAGGACAGTGATAGTGAAAATGACAGTAATAGTGACAATAACAGTGACAGTGACAATGACCATGATAGTGACAGTGGCAGTGGCAGTGACAGTGGTAGTGACAGCGGCCCTGCCAAAGTGGGAGGCTCTTATATGAAAAGTTGTAAAGAAGGAAAACAACATTGACTCAAGTTGGTTGTGAGAAATGCCCAGTTTGTTTTTGTTTTTTTTAATTTACATTGGAGACCTTTACCATGCTTATTTGCTCAATGTTGGATTTGCAAACTATGGAGTTTTATCTCTCTATAGTTTGGACTGATGGTGGAATGGTCACCACAGATCAATCAATCTGTCTATAGGCTTACACCACACCACCCCTTATCACTGATATATCTATACCTTAAGTCAATAGTCAAGATATTTTTAAAACTTTTAGAAGTTAATCACACTTTATTGTTCTTATTTTTGACTCAATCATATGTTTTTGTGCTCTTCGGCCCCTCAAACAGGCTCTTCAAGCCAGTACATACGGTTGATTTGAAGAACTTTTTGAACAATAAGCTAAGTTGTAGTTCAAAAGCTCGAAATTAGATACAAAAAAGTATCCCCTTCCATTCCACAGGCATTGAATAAATGTAAACAGGTCATTTTGAAAACAAATTTAAAATTTGCTGGGATAGTCTTGCTTGAATTTGAATGTTCAACACCGACTCTTGCAAACGGTGATGAGCTATATGTTTTACAATCTTCGAAAATCCTCTTTAACTCATGATGGAAAACAGTCTCTGTTTTTGCATTAGGCTTAGAGGTATATGTGTACCACGCACTTTGTGATGACCATTAAGTAGCTTAACTTGAAGTGAAAGAGACCATGATATCGTGCAGCTTAGGGCAGTGACTTGGCATTGCAAGATATCTCAGATCAGGTCTCTGGTTGGTTGATTTGAAATTTGGTATGAAATGACACACAAAAATACATTCAGGTATATGTACCTTTTGATCCAGTTGCATGATGCTTTGTTCAAAATGTAGAAACCTCTCATTTACAGTTGTATTTAGACCAATCAAAACTTGGGCAACATCCTGTACTGTGAGACAGATATCCTCTAGCTCTGTATTTTTGCCCTAAAAAATAAAACAGACAAAATTATTGTGTTAAAGAATTAGTGGACCTACCAAAGTTGGTAAAATAAGTAGAGCAGTCCACATTTTGCTTCTGAAAAAAAGGATGATAGGAACTGTAACAGTGAGAGATTCAGATAACAATACATTCTTAATGTTGGTAACTTACTTCATTTTTCATTTTTTCCATGTCTTTTTTCATCTGCCATAAAGCAAGAAACTTCTGTTAAACTCAGTGCACTAATAGTAATTTTTTCCTAATTTAGATAGAGCTGGAAATGGATGAATTTAAACTTGCCCTTATTGCTAGCTCCTCCAACTCTGCTGAGACCTAACACAAGGATGAAAAGAAAAGAAACTGCTTAACATCATATCATTTTTCTAATGAATGGTTTATTCTTAGTGATGACTTACAATCATTATCATTATTGTTATTATTAAGATGATTATTATGATTATTAGAGGTGAATGAATGGCAAACTTACGTTTTTCTTCAGTTCTTTTACAACCCCTGAAACCTATAACAATAAAAGAAATGTAAATCAATATTCCTGATTGAGTTTCTTTGTACATCAATACTTCCTTGTGATTTCTTATTCATAATGATCTGAGGATGATGATGGCTATAGAGGCACGCAATTTGGATGATAAGGTTTGTACCTACTATGCTGCCAAAGTTGGTTCAAAAAAATTAGGAGAACACTGGTAATGTCTGGAACAATGACACCCAAGAGGACCTATAGTAATGTTTATCAGGCTCCCCCAGGCACACATCAGCCTGATTAGAAATAACATTTAGATCACCCCATTGAAAAAGTTAAAGCAGAAGAAGTGTACTGTTGTTAATACAAAAATGATATTCTGTTTAAAATCTATATTTCTATACCATATTTACCAATAATCAGCAAGTTAAAAGTCCTATTAAGGCCCTCAGTCTTATGTAGTACTACATAAAAGTACTCATGTATTTTACCTCGGTGCACTTTTGTTTTTAACAAATCACTACTAATGATTAAGAATTACTCCTGCCGCGTAGTCTCTAAATGCAGAGAGGTTCCTTTTCAACTCTTGCACATTCTTTTGAAGTTCTGACGTTTCTAGAAGAGGGGGAGACAATAAGAAAAACATAGAAAATGTAAACAAAAAATGATGAACAGATGGATAAATAGATAAAAGATAAAGCAATTAACACATGTTGAAGTTTCACACATTGATTAGCAAATGTTAACACCATTCACAAAACACCTTTTAATACAATAAGAGAGAAATAGGACCAACTTATTCTTGAACTATTGCAAATAATTAATCACTATCAAGAGAATCATTTGCTCATCTCTCAAAAATTTGGTAAGCAAAAGACCTTTTTTCCTGCTTGTTATATGTAAACGATCTTTCTAAGTTTGTGCATCATTCGTAAGGAAGAAGGTACATTGTATGCCTGTAATAATAGCACTACATTTACGAGAAATAATGTCGAAATTGAGAAGAAAAAGAAGATTTCGATCTGTACCTGGAAAAGAGTCGATTATGGCTTGAAGCATTCGAGGTTCCTTGGAATTTGGCAATAGTTTGTTAGTAACGCTTCGCCCGTCGAAATTTGGATAAGATTCTGACAAAATTCTACGCTGAAGTCCTGAAAAAAAATGGAAGAGAATTCGAAGCCTACTCACTTCGCATTGTGGAGGCATCACTCGACAGGTATCTCCGCCGAAAATATTATTCGGCATCCATCACCGAACAAAATGTCAGAGATGCCAAGGCCAAGAAAATTTGCCCAACAGAGCTCAGCCGTACACTCGAGTAGACGAATAATTATTTTGGAGTGAGGGAAAACTTGAAAGTCACAATGGTGTTGCCTTTACAAACGTTACTATAAAAAAATGGCAAATTATTTGGGTTTCAGAGGCCGCTAGGACTATTACAACGCTTACGTTGAAGATTTTTTCATTTTGCAAATGGCACCTGGTAGCAAAGTTGTTCAGTGTGAAGAAAATCTAACCAAAACCAGGCAAGGCGGATTGAGAAACAAAAACCGAAGTTCTCTTCGGCAAACGCGGTCTACCAACGGTGGGGAATGGGATCTCGTGCAGCTTTGCGTAGAGTGGCTTGCACGTCGACCCCGACCAATTAGAAATTCCGGCCCTTTGTACCTTGAAATTGTTTCTAGCCCCTCCACAGGTGTTGGTTGGCCAAATCGAGCATGGGTGAGCATCGAATTAGCCAAATAATGAAGTCAGTTGCAAGTTGTTTACGAGAGGAGCGTGCCAAGAAAACAACAAACCATTTCACAAGAAAAACGGTCGTTACGAAATTAAAAGAAGCGGGCCAACCACTTCATAAAATTATCCAAGTTACTGGACATGCCAGAGAGTCCTGGCTGCATGATTAGGACCAAACAACAGAGAGCAAACGAAGGTAATTGTCTCGTATGGCAAGCGGGTATGCCGCAACATCGACTTTATCAGCGATAGTATAAAGGTCGATCGCCGGCAATTATTTCTTCCTCTTGTCCAGGCCCAGAAGATATAAACGTAAAGGAAAACATCCCAGCTAAAGTTGGATCCGTAGAAAAAGTTGTAATGCTTTCTTTTGTTTCTTAAGATAGCTGTAGTAGATGTATAACGATTGTATTTTTGAAACTTACTAGACGGCGCGAGTTTCAAATTGAATGTAATTTTTGTTCCTTGGCCGTAACGCCTGGTTGATTATTTGATTGTTAACACTTGAACGGTGGACTGATTGGTTGTTGCTAAGTAATCGTTTGAGTGGTTTTAGTCTTTAGTTTTTTATCTTTGTTTTAAAAGCCGATTTTAAACGTTGCATTTCGCTTTTGTCGTAGATTTTAATGATCATGTTTTGAACAATCATGTTATTTTGGTTCATTTTTTTTCCCGAAATTTTAATTTGCAACAGGACTTAGTGTCAACCAATTCTGTCGGTAATGTTACGAATGATTGACAATCACTCTTATGATTACACACCGAATTGAACTCCACTCGGTCTGTTACCATTTTTAATTATCTACATGGAACTTTGAATTTTCTTGGTATGTATGTTAATCAAAATTTCAATTTCAAATTTTATAAGGGGGGGGGGTTGAGTTTCATGTTAATAAATGATTTCACATATTTAATTCCAAAAGCCCCATTGAAAACATGGAGAGTCGTGCTTTTCACTAATGATATTTTTTTATAACCTCATCTTTTGTCAGATATTATTACGCATATGGTTAAAGTTCTCAATTCAATGACTCGGAGCGTTTGCGTTACTTGCAATGTCTTCGGCCTTTGCATACTTCATGATACTAACTTAATGTTAAGTGGCTCACATCATTAGAAATCCTATACTAATCACAAGTGCGGGGAACGCTCTGGTAAATAAAGGTCCAATATGCAAAACTCTGTACGAAGTTCTTCAAGAAATTAATTTTTCATTCGGGAGTAGAAATTTCTTACGGGAGAGTGGTCTGTTGATAAATTGGGCGTTTTACTAAAAAAAAAAAAAAAAAAAAGGTTTTCGTTGACCCAGTTTCGTGGAATCTTAACAATAGCAATAGTCAAATCATATCGAAACGGAAGTTCCTCTAATTTCCTCTTTGTACAAGAAATTGTCAGGACCGAAGTGAATTATTTCTTGCTTCATCCTGTCGTTTAATTAGTGCCCTTTTTCCAATCACTTTTAAGATTTGAATGGATGAAGATCTACGGGTGTTTACTTACAACAGGGAGAAGCAATGGTAGCCGTACCTGTGGAAACTTCGCTCCGTGCCGTCATGATTGCCACAGCTAAAACCAAAGTGGCAAGGGCTGTTAAGAGCGAAGCAACAGCAATGGCTGATACGATTTAGAATAATGGGTGATGTTTCACTGTATAAGAATCTTTACACAGCTGTGTTTCCTCCTTCGGCTTTGCCTTAGGAGTGTCCTCTCTGAAAACTAAACCGTCACACGTTTCGGCGTGATCTTCTTGTTTAGATTCCGTTTCGAAAGAAACGTTCATCCGCCCGACTTCGGTCTTAGTATCCATTATTGGGTGTTATGATTGTGCCTCTTGTGGAGCAGATCAACTTTAGACGCTTCTGGAGGCGAAACAAGGTTAGGCAAGCAAAAAAGATGCTGAAATGCGATGCGATACGATCATATGATCAGCACTGACTGATGATAGAGCGAAGAATGACTGATACGTAAGCTGTCTTAAAAAAGGATGATGACAGGAAGTGTTTGTTTCGACGTAAGTTTATAGATTGTGCAATAAAAGATTTAACTGACCTTAAATGATGATGAAAGCATTATTGAACAAAATGATTATGCTGTCTTGATAGTGATATAGGTCATCACTATCGACCCCACTTTCCAGTGTATAGTGAGATATCAAAGTAGAAGCAAATGAGGTATAGAGGGTTTCCTCTTGATATCCCCTTGATGTTTTAGTCTTCAGTAGGCTGAAGTCAAACCTAAACTAAAACTTTCTTACCTCTAATGATCCACTGGTTTCGTAGAGGCCAACTTTGATTACATTTAATGCTAAGGTTATTTGACAGGTGGCATGGAATATTTTCCGAAATAGCTACTTTCAACTTCAACTGAATGTTATAAAGGCGTTGAGAAGGATGGGAAAGGAAGTATTCGGAAACTTTTCCAAAGCAAGATACTGGTACCATTTTTTCAACATTGTTTTCAAAGTCCCATCAATCACACAAACCCTTACTTACGGCGGCACCCTTCGTTGAAACTCTTGATTTATTCCCACATATTTCGTTTTTTAAGTGATATTTTGGATTTCCTACACTGAAATTTGATGAAGCCAGGTACAACTTCTCGAAATTAGTTTCACACAAGAAATTAATCAAGATTAGATGATACGAGTATGTTATAATAAGGGCGTAGCCGGGGGTGGTTTTGCCCTGGGGTTCCACCTTTGAATGAGTATAAATGATAGGAAAGTCTTAGCCTATAAACTTTGATATCATGTCAATTAAAGACAATGTGGCTAAATAGGGTGACACTCGACTGAGTGGGGGAAGTAATGCTACTTTGCTTTGATTTAGCATTACTTCACATTGTGATTGGTCTAGAAATCTCGCACCATCCTCTTTCTCTCGCTTTAAGAAGATAACCTGTTTTTACTTTTATTTTACTTTGATTTTGGTTTTACAACACTCAACTGAAATGCCCTCTGAAAGAAAACCCAGATCACGGGGCATATTTGAAAAATAGTATTCTTCGTCTCGTTTCTGAATCAAAACTGTATAATCTTCTTTACAAAGAGTCCTGTTCATTAAATGGCTTTATGTTTTTCCTCTTATGACTGACACTCCCAGAAGTGCATGTAACAATACATCGTTGCTTCTCCAGTTGTTAGGGTACCTTCGCAAGAGCACTTGTAGGTTCTCTTTCCACCTGCGATGATGCTTGATAATTTAGCAACTTTCGCGTCGTTTGTATCACAGTTGACGCCAATGAAGATTTTACCCTGGCAGGAAAAAAAAAAAAAGACAATAATTATGATACTGATGATACAGATAAATTGCGTCAAGAGTTCGAAATGTGGATGAGCAAAACATTTCTTTCCTCTCAATTGGGTGTACACACGACTTGACGAAAGCCGACGACCAAAATCTGGGGAATACTTAGTGTGAGTTTTCCATGCCGAAATCGGATATCACAAATACAGCCTACACGTCTAGGGACGTAAGAAGAGATAAATCCACGTATTTGCTAATACTGGCCTTTAAATGTACGCTGGATTACTTGTTCCCTCAGCGGGCAGATCGTTCGTTTAAAATCGATTTTTATTGTTACTTATAGGCCGAGATACAGATTCATAAAGGCCGGCGTAGCGAATACTTTGAAAAACTGGTATTTTCAAACGCTTTTTTGTTCCACGTAAGGCCGAGGATATTATTGCTCCGTGTGAGATTAAAGAAATAAACGTAGATACACACTGTAAGGTATGAAATTTTCCGAAAAAAAGAACACTTTATCTTATATTTGGCGGCAAAATGAACTTTTCCGAAAAGTTCGTGCTGAATTTCGAAACAAGTTGTTAAAGTTGTGAGATAGGTTGTTGTTCATCGTGGTAGTTGGATGATAATATAAGTTTGTTCTGTTGTCTCACGACATGGTCACTTGATGTGGAACGCGACTTTTCGACCGCTCACTGCAAGTCTTCTTCAGGCGTGCCTCTGGTTGTGGCACGGCATTATATATCATGGTGGTCATGCCATGGTACCATGGTTACCATGGTTTCCTCAGGCGTTCGCTGGTTTTTCGTACGTCGTTGGTTTAGATGTTTCCTTTTTGAAGGCATCCATGCTTCCGGTATTTCGGCTCCGCTGTCCCTGTTTATGTTATTTGGGTTGAGTCTTATGTGAATTGCCTCCTTCACTTTCCTTGTGTACCAGTGGCTTTCTCGGGCAATAAGCTTGGTTTTGTTCCACAGCGGCTTGTGTCCGGCTCCGTTAGCATGTTCTGAAACTGCGAAATTCTGAGTGCGTGCGAGTCTTATATCCCTGTCGTTCTCCTTCATTCTTTCTTGTATAGGTCGTCCTGTTTCCCCGATGTAGACTTTGCCGCATGTGCATGGTATCTTGAAGACTACGCAATCTTGCTTGTTTGGGTCAGCGGGGTCTTTTGGTCCGACCAGCCAAGATCTTAGTGTGGTGTCGAATTTAAAGACGGTGCGTATTCGTTGTTGCTGTAGGTGGCGGCGGAAGGGTTCTGAGACTCCTTTGATGTATGGCAGCACTGCGGTAGACTTGAATTCTGTTGTTTCCCTCTCGGGTGTTGGATTCCTGATTTTGGTCACCTTCTGTAAGAAGGACGGAGGGTAGCCGTTGGCGACGAGAACTGTGGATCTCCTAGGCTGTTCCGGATGGCTTGGTGATGATGCGTTTAGCTCGACCATGTAAACACTTGACAAAACTGCGTTTAACAGATTATGGGTGGTGCGAATCATAGGCAAGGTACTGGTTGGTGTGGGTGGGTTTTCTGTATACACTTGTGAGCAGTTTACCGTCTGGTTCCCTTGTTACGAGGGTGTCGAGGAAGGCGGTCTTATTATTATTATTCTCAGTTTCCATGGTGAAGCGGATGGACAGGTGTTGTTGGTTGAGGTGGCTCCGAAAGTTATCCGCGTTGTGCTGTTTCATGACGGTGAACGAGTCATCTACATAGCGCTTTCATTTTCTCGGTGGTTTTGGGGTTTTGGGGCAGTAGCTAAGGTTTGTTCTTCGAAAGCCTCCATGTATAGATCGGCAATTACGGCGGAAATCGGGCTGCCCATAGGTGCTCCATCTTTTTGCTCGTAGAGTGCTCCGTTATACTTAAAGTATGTGGATCTCAGAACGAAATTTAGAAGGTCTGCAATCTGGGTAGGTGTGAGCGCTGTGCGGTCTGGTAGGCTCGGATCGTTGTTGAGTCTATGAAACGCGGCCTGTACTGTTTCTTCTATAGGGACGTTGGTGAACAGCGACTCGACGTCAAAGGATATCATTGGCATCTTGGAGTGGTAGCCGCTTCCGTGTCGAGGACTACAGTCGCACAGCTTTTGTCTGTTGGCAGGATCATGACGGAATGGTCCTGTTTGAGACTTTTTAGCGCATTTCGCATTTCCGTTGTGATGTTAGGCTTGGGTGGTACGGCCTTTTGGAGTACGTTGTTCACGGTTCTTCGGACTGTGTCAGCTTGTTCCGCGTCGAGTGGTCTGATGGTTGTTTCTGCCTTCGCGATTATTTCTGTGGTTCTGATGTTGGTCGGCGTGACGGCGAAATTTAGTCCTTTCTTGAGCAGGGTGGTTTCTGCGTCGCTGAGTGTTCTGGAAGACAGGTTAATGACCCAGTTTGCTTGGTCAACTTTGGGTGTCGAGGTTACGTTTCTCGAATATTTGTTTCTGCCGCTCCTTGGGGTGACAACCGGTCGACCCCATCGCCTGAAGAAGACTTGCAGTAAGCAGTCGAAACGTTGCGTTCCACATCAAGTGACCTCGTCGTGAGACAACAGAACAAACTTATATTATCAAGTTGTTAAAGGTTTTCTTTTCTTTTTGTTTTCGTGATGATGGAGATTTAAGACTTAAAAGAGAGGAAATTACCTTTGATTTTCAAAATCGATGCGGCCTATGGTTGGAAAGTAATAACTCAACTTTATGACTCAAGGTGAGGCCTTACGACATTTAGATAACTCCTTTGACTGGTAAATATTGTCTCCAGTGTTAATATGTCGTAAAGCAATTTTCAATAGTATATTTTTTTGTCAGAATCAAACAACTTTCACAATCTTCAACTCAACTTACCTTGAGTTCCGTCGCTGTAGTTTCTTGTTGGGCGATTGAGTTTGCTGCCATACCAGTGCTGGTTAAAGTCTTAAAAACACAGGAACCGGATGGGCCCTGGGTACCATTGAACCCAGATGGTCCACGAAGGCCCCGAACACCAGGTAATCCTGATGATCCTGCAGGGCCCTGAGTACCATTATATCCTGGAGGTCCGGGAGGTCCGGACAACTGCAATGATTCGCATTGTAACAATAACAATGATGGTCATGATGATCAGGATAACAGTGGTAGAAAAACTTAATAATAGCATCGTAGAAGAAGAGAAAAATGTCATTTAATTCTTACTTTCTCTTCAACCATAACATTTCAACTCAATGAATATATTGTTGACGTTTCGATAGCTTTTAAAACGTATTCTTTGGGTGTCTGGATCGAATTTTCTGATTGGTTGTTGTGTTAGAGAACTAGGACATCCCAGAAAAGTTTCATGGTATGGGGGAAGTTATATTTATTTATTTATTTATTTTAATTTAATCAACATTAATTCAAGAAAAATTTGTACAGAACTAAACTTACATTACTCTACTTATATTACTCCCAGAAAAGTTTAATGGTATAAGGTAAGTTATATTTACTTACCATGCGCTTTTTTACCATGTTAGGCTGGATTGGGGTAAATACGTTTTCCTTGCTAGTGTGTAGTTTTATTAAGTCTCTCTTTCCTTGTTTCTTCAGATCGATACAAAATGAATAATGATTTTTCTCAATTTAAAATGGTGTCGTTTACAATTTCTTAGAATTTGATTGCCAGTAATGTTATTGTACTAAGAAATCCAGAACTTTTCAACAACTTAATTCGAAACCTCCATAGTATGAATGGATTTTATCGATAATACGACGTGCTTGTTTACCATCTTGATGCATTAAGGTGCACTCGTTTCCCCTTTTCAAGCGCATTAATGCCAAATTTCTCACTTCCGCATTTCTGGATCAGATTATTTATTATGCAAAATCCCTCTCTCCCGCATTTCTTTAGATCCAAACAAAACTTAGATATTGTAAGAAACTCTTAGTCTCTTAAGAATCTATATTAATAAAAGAAGTTTAAGTCTGCACTTGGGTTGAGTTTGAAATGCTTAAGATAAAGTTTGTTTTTTTCTAAATATTTCTTTAAACTTTTGCGCTCAAAAAAAAAAATTATTTGCAAAAATATTGTTTTGGACCCGACCCAGACTTTTTTGCACCTTTCTTTTTAATTTTTTTAAAATTATACATATTACTATTACATCACTGTGGAGTGTCAACAATAGGATTTTAACAATTAGGCAAACGTCTACAACTTAAATGGCTTTTATTTCCCCCAAGGTAAATACACCATCCAGCGAAACTTGCGTGAAATTACAAAGTCTGGTCATCTGAGTTTTCAAAAATTCGAAAGGAAAATTCTATAAATCTTTTGAAATTAACAGTACAATTTCTAAACTGAGAGTTTGGCATTATTGTTCGCACTGAATGCGTTTGGCTTGAAGTCATCACCAGCACTTTACCACCGGCCACAGAACTTACGGCGTTTTTAACATACGTTATTATTGTCCGAAAAAGCACTTTTCTGGCGGCTGAGCTATCCTTTACCAAAGCTTTTTTAGTTTTTATGCTTTGTATATTTTCAATAGCGTAAAAATACTTTGATTTCTTTCACGAACGCGGCAAAAAAGCGTTGCGAACATAGCAATGGCTTCTCGATTTTAATTGGCTGCTTTCATTTGTTTATTTCAGCGTGCTAAAACACACCAACCGACAAAGTGATAATATTTAAATTCTTAGCATCGTCTCGATAAGCTTTCGCTCGATCAAAAATTGACTACCGCTATACTCGAGAAAAAGAAAAAGATCCGATCAGGCGGGTTGTGGCTTCACTAGAAGGACATGAGATATCTTAGAACACAGAAGGAGGTAGTTTGTATCTCAAGCCAAGTCGACTGGACCGCCCTTACGAAGTCTTAAATACGTAAAAGTTTTTATCGATGATCAAAGGAAACATCGCTGACTCGGTCTTTTTTTCGCGGTGAATCATTGTTGGTTTCAGGAGAGAATAACCACTAATTTAGTTTTAAGAGGCATTACAATACATCTGAGAGCTTTTGTATTTATTCGATCACTGCGATTAATGAAAAAACAAACAAAAAAACGAACACAAACACAAAATTGCTCTTACCGAATTTTTTTGTAGAGCCAAGAGGATCCTCTCCAACTCCTGAACCTTCTTTTCGATCTGCGACTTATCTGGCAGAGTAAATAGTTTAATACTTGTAAATGGAAAAAGAAGAAAAATGATTCAACGCAGAGGGTTTGATTTATTATATACCTGCATTTTATACAAATAAATCTCATGACTATTTGTCGAACATTTTCTTTGTTTCGCTTTCAATCCTCGCATGTTTGAGATAGCAACAAATAAGGCCATTGATCACAATCCCATACATGTGATTTATCAATCCAAGAGTGATAGGTTTTTCAGTTACTTATTTTTCTCTTTTTGAATTGGCGTTTTGATTAAGAATAATTAATCTTTTTTTACAGCAATATGCTTGATGTGCCACACTCGCGGATCGGAGTTGTGTGAGAGCAAACCAATTAACTGTTAAAGAAATATGTTTTTCAACGCTTAGTTGTCACAACTTAGCCTCATCTAAATATCAAATCATCATAGAATTACCCATGTTGTTCATGATTACGACTAAGTACCATGATAGACAGATTGCCCCTTGTAAGCAATGTCATTTTCTTAGACTTTAAATCCTATACTAATCATCAGTGCGGAGAAAGCTCTAGTAAACAAAGGTCAAGCATTTCAAACTTTGTACGAAATTCTTCAAGAAGTAATTTTTTAACTTGGAGATGAAAATTTTTATGCGATGGTAGTTGGTTGATAAATGGGGCTTTTAACTAAAAAAAGAACGTGGCTTTTGTTGACCCAATTTCGTGGAATCTTAATAATAACAATACTCAAATCATATCGAAACGGAAATTTCGCTAATTTTCTCTTCGGACAGGATATTAAATGGTCGAGACCGAAGTAAAGTATTGTTTACTTTATCGTGTCGTACGCGTTTGACTAATGCCACTTTTATAATTTCGATGAATCAAGACCTACGAGTGTTTACTTACAACAGGAAGGAGCAATGGTAGCCTTACCTGTCGAAGCCTCGCTCCGTGCCGTCATGATTGCCACAGCTAAAACCAAAGTGGCAAGGGCTGTTAAGAGCGAAGCAACAGCGATGGCAGATGGGATAGAGAATAATGGGTTATGCTTCACTGTATCAGAATCTTTATACGGCAGTGTTTCCACGTTTGGCTTTGCCTGTGGAGTGTCCTTTCTGAAAACTACATCGTCATAGGTTACGGCGTTATCTTTCTGTTTAGATTCCATTTCGAAAGAAATGTTCTCCTGCCCGATCTCGATCTTAGTATCCATCATTGGGTCCCTTTGGAGAGTACGGCGCAATAAAGAGATACTATTAAAAAAAACAAAAAACAAAAAACAAAAAAAAAAATCCATCATTGGGTGCTATGCTTGTGCCGTTTGTGAAACAGATTAACTTTAGACTCTTCTTGGGGCGAAACATGCTTAGGCAGACCAAAGAGATGCTGAAATACGATGTGATATGATCATATGATCGTCTCTGATTGATGAGAATAGGAAAAGCTGAAAATAGGATAATGACAGGAAGTATTTGTTTGGAAGTAAGTTTATAGATTGTGCAATAAAAGATTGAACTCACCTTAAATGATGATGAAAGCATTATTGAACAAAATCATTATGCTTATCCAGGTTATCACTATCGACCCCACTTTCCAGTGTACAGTGAGATATCAAGGTAGAAGCAAATGAGGTATAGAAGGTTTTGTCTTGATGTTTTAGTCTTCAATGGGCTGAAGTCAAACCTAAATTTAAATTTCTCAACTTAAATGATCCACTGGCTACGTATAAGCCACCTTAGATTACATTTAATGCTAGGATAATTTGAGAGGTGACATGGATCATTTTCCGAAATAGTTACTTTAAAGGCATTGAGAAGGATGAGAAAGAAAATATTTAAAGGCAGAGCGAGATATTGTAACCATTTTTTTCAACATTGTTTTCATAGTCCCATCAATTACACAAATCCTCACCTACATTTGGCGGAACTCTTTTTTTCCCTTTTTTTTAGCACCATGCAATAGTAGGCAATTTCAAATGCAGTCAACTGTTTTTGCTCTCAAATTAAGCATTATTTGAATCTCTTAAGCTGGGCTTCGCTATCTTTTATGCGGGTTGCAGGGGGGAGGGGGTGTGGAGTTCGTGCAAAATCCACCCAATCCATTTCACTCGTTTGGAAGAAGGGACGCCATTTTTACTGCTTCATGAAGTTTCTTAGTCCGAGAGAGTTTTACTGAGCGTTATGAAATGAACATCGTTCAAGACCGTCAGTTCCTCGAGTTCAATAGAGCACAACTAAAGTCCTCACTGTGGCCCTATTGTTAATTGATTACTTTATGAATTTGAATCATAGAAATACAACGTTATCTTTGCTCGACTAAAAAGCAATGTTTTGAATACTAAAGTGAACATGATTACCAAGAAATGTGGGAGCCGTGTAAAATGATGTGACTTTTACATACTAGACGAAAAACATACACAAAACTGAAGAAAAGTCATATTGTTAAGTTATAATTTTATTTTTTTCACATCAAGTTTCCTTTGAGAGCCATATTTCCGACAGTTATAACATGTCAGTCGCTTAAGTATCGGTGATTTTTGGTGTTATCCGCTTGTGGTTGCTAGTACTCCTTTTTAACTTGATATACTAACAAATACCGCTTTTTCGTCCGTTTAGTATAAAATACAATATGAAACAAAATATTTTTGGAAGCTATTCTAAGGGACTGAAGTCTATATTTAGCATTGATAACAAACATAAGTGCTGATTTAAGTATATGAAAGCAACGGTTCGTAGTAAAACTGAGAGGTTTTCTGGGTAACATGACCACTTAGTTTCACAAAACTTTCTTCCACTCCCATCTCTGACGCTGACTATCTCAACGAAACTCTTGTTTTACTTCCATATACTTTCATTTTTAAGTGATATTTTGGATTTCTTATACAAAAAAATTGATGCAGCTAAGGACAACTTCTCTAAATCGATTTCACGCAAGAAATTGATCGCAATTAAATAATGGATATATGGTATAACAAGGGCGTAGCTAGGGGATTTCCCCAGGGTTCTTAGGTACCCACGTCGCGCGTCGTCTGTTGCCCCCTCCTCCCCCCCTCCCCCCATTTATATGCGTTATTGTTTTAGGTTATAATAGGTACCCTTTGTTTGACGCTGTGAGCCCTTTTTAAAAGACCTGGCTACGCCCTTGTTTAAAGATGGACAAAGTTTGTACGGGAAAGGACTCAAGATTAACCCTAACCCTAACCCTAACCCTAACCCTAAGCAATTATTTGCGGTATTGACCGAGTGGTAAGAAGGTAAATAAAGCTAGGGCAAAAGAACGGGCGCGAAAGTTAGTGGTGAAAAAGAAACCGCGGTTCTGATTAAATAAATCATGTACACCTTTGAATGAGTATGAATGACAGGAAAGTCTCACCCTATTAAATTTTAGATCTTTTTGAATTGTTACTTCGACATCAGGTAAAGTAAACACAATATCGCTAAATAGGGTGATTCCAACTGAGTGTGGAAAGTAATGCTACTTTGCTTTGGTTTTATAGTACTTCGCAATATAATTGGTGTAGAACTGAAACTCACACCATACTTTAAATCAGTCAGATTGAAAACTAAATCCAATCGCGATCTTGGTCTCTTGCGTTTTCTCACACTTAGGGCATACAACCTGTTGTTACTCCTCCTCCTGATTATGCTCCTTTGACTTTCCTCTGATTTTGGTTTTACAACACTCAACTGAAATGCCCTCTAAAAGAAAACCTAGTTCACTGGGCATATTTGAAAAATAGAATTAAGGTTAAACCACTAAATTGTTCTTCGTCTCGTTTCTGATTCAACACTTTATTATCTTCTTTACAAAGAGTCCTGTTCATTAAATGGCTTTCCGCTTTTCCTCTTATGACTGACACTCCCAGTAGTGTATATTGCAATACATCGTTGGTTCTCCAGTTGTTAGGGTAGCTTCGCAAGAGCACTTGTAGGTTATCTTTCCACCTGAGTTGACGCTTGATAATTTAGCAATTTTTGCGTCGTTTGTATCACAGTTTACGCCAATAAAGATTTTACCCTGGCAGGAAAAGAACATAATAAATATGATACTGATAATGATGATAAATTACGTCAAGAGTTCGAAATGTGGATGAGCAAAACATTTCTTTCCTCTTCAATGGGTCTACACACGACGTCGCATCAAACAGAATCAAACAGAATCAACTTTCACAATCTTCAACTAAACTTACGTTTGGTTCCGTCGCCGTAGTTTCTTGTTGGGCGATCGAGCTTGCTGCCGTACCAGTGCTGGTTAAAGTCTTAAAAACACAGGAACTGGCCCCGGGTCCAGGTGGACCCTGGGTACCATTGAACCCAGATGGTCCACGAAGACCCTGAACACCAGGTATTCCAGGCGGTCCTGCATGGTCCTGAGTACCGTTATATCCCGGAGGTCCGGGAGGTCCGGAAGGTCCGGCGGGTCCGGCGGGTCCGGCAGGTCCAACGTCTCCATTAGAACTGTTGACTCCAGGTGGTCCTCTGACGCTCGTGCTGCCAGTAGCATTTTTCACCTACTCAATTAAAAAAAAGCAACAACAACAACAATGATATTCACAGTAACCATTACCATGATGATAACAATGAAAATGATGATAGTTGTAATGACAATGCCAATTGCCGCAATTACAATAAGAATGACAGTGACAGTGACAATGACAGTGACAGTGAAAGTGAAAGTGACAGTGACAGTGACAGAGAAAGTGACAGCGTCAATGACAATGAAAGCGACGGTGTCAATGACAATGGAAATGAAATTGTTATTTACAGTGACAGTGAAAGTAACAGTACTAGTGACAGTGACAGTGACAGTGACAGTGACGGTGACAGTGACAGTGACAGTGACAGTGACAGTGACAGTGACAGTGACAGTGACAGTGAAAATAGAAGTGAAAGTGAAAGGTTAGTCAGAGGTTGATTCGAAATTCGGTACGAATGGCACCCAATAATACATTTAAGTATATGTACCTTTTGATCCAGTTGCATGATTCTTTTTTGAAAATGCAGAAACCTCTCATTTACGCTTGTATTCAGACCAGTCAAAGTTTGGGCAGCATCCTGTACTACGAGACGGATATCCTCTAGTTCTGTATTTTTGCCCTAAAAAATAAAACGGGCTAAATTATTGTGTTAGAGAATTAGTGGGCCTACAAGTTGGTGAAATTAGTAGAGCAGTCCGCGTTTTGCTTTTGAACATCATGATGACGGGGAGTGTAACAGTGAGAGATTCAGATAACGAAACTTACCTCGTTTTTCATGTTTTTCATTTTTTCTTCCATCTACCATAAAGTAAGAAACTCGTGTTAAACTAAGCGCACCGATAGTGATTTTTTAATATAGATGGAACTGGAAATGGTTGAATTTAAACTTGCCTTTATCGCTAGCTCCTTCAACTCTGCTGAGACCTAACACAAGGAAGAAAAGAAAAGAAAAGAAACCATTTAACATTATATCATTTTTTAAATAAATGTTTTATTGTTATTGATGATTTACAATCATTATCATTATTATTATGATCAAGATGATCATTACGATTATTAAAGAAGGCGAATGAATGACAAACTTACGTTTTTCTTCAGTTCTTTTACATCCCCTGAAACCTATAACAATAAAAAAAAATGCAAATTAATATTCGTGATCAAGTTTCTCTGTAGAATAATACTCTCTTCTCATTTATTGGTCATAATGATTTAATGACGATGATGGCTATATAGGTGCTCTTCTTCCAAAATTGGTTAAAAAAATCAGGAGAACGCTGATAATGTCTGTGATAATGACACTTAAGATGATCTATAGCAATGTTTATCAGTCTCCCCCAGGCACACAACAGTCTCGGATTAGAAATAAAATTTAGATCATCACACTGCAGAAGTTAAAACAGAAGACATGCAGTGTTGTTAACACAAAAACAATGCCTTCAGCCTGCGCTCCAGGGAATTATTAAAGCTCTGTTTAAAATATGTATATTTCTGTTCCATTACAATCAACAACAATCAGGGAGTTGAAAGTCCTTTTGGGGCCTTTAGTCTTATGTACATATATGTATCCATGTATTTCACATCAGTGCCCTTTTGCTTTTAACTGACCACTGCTAATGATTTAGAATTACTCCTACCGAGTAATCTCTTAATGCAGAGAGGTTCCAAACCAACTCTTGCATATTCTTTTGAAGTTCTGACGTTTCTAGAAAGGGGGAAACAATAAGAAAAACATAGAAAATGTAAACAAAATGAATTGAATTAAAATAGTGTAACAATTTTGAAATTAAAAAAAGCATCATAAGCCTTCGAAAAATCTCATGGAAAAAATATCTTGGACCATTAATTAAATGCTGCATTCAGCAAATTTCTGAGGCATACAATTAAAGAAACTAGAGTAATTGAGGCTGATCGATTTCGAAATGTGTGCGGAAACGTTTTGGCCGGTTAATCACCACATTTTCTTTCACTTTCGAAGTATGTTGCTATTTCAGTCAAAGTGATAATTGGCGACAATATATAATAAGCTGAGCTGGGTTTTAAAGTAAGAACACATTCGGAAATATTTTGACTGATCTAACCCTCGTGTTGGTCCTTTTTATGATCCAGGCCTGTTTGTAAATGGATACTGTAAAGGATATCGACAACTCAAAGCGAGTAAATCATCCCGCGTAGACTAATCCATCTCACTAATCCAAAGCGGCAACGTCCAAATTATACTTCCTGTTAGCACTAATTATATATTTTGTTCAGATAGGCCCCGAAACGATGATGGTGAAGTTCTCCCTACGCAGGCGGAGATGGCGATGATTTTGATCACTGGGGTGATGTGAATGCGAAGATGGTTGATCTCGTTCGAAACAGTATGTCTACATGCGGACACGGTATTGCCGGATGTGAGCCAGGCTAAGACCTGGCACCCTCTCTGCTTGCCGTTGCTGGCGTTTCTTCTTATCCCCCTCCACGCCTTCTTTTTTCTTTCTTTCATTTTTTTTTTTCACACTACACATTTTCTGTTAAGATTAAATTTCTCAGCGTAATAAAGTAAAGACGGGCCGTGAGAGATTAAGCTACAATAGATTTAACATGCGCAAACCTTAAGTCATAACCCTTTGTTTTACTTGTGTGATATTTCAAAACAACTAAATCTCATGAATATTTGTCGAACATTTTCTTTGTTTCGCTTTCATCCCTCGCGTGTTTGAGATAGCAACAAATAAGGCCATTGCACACAATCCCATATATGTGATTTATCAATCCAAGAGTGATGGGTTTTTCAGTTATCTATTTTTCTCTTTTTAAATTGGCGTTTCCATCAAGAATAATTAAATGTGTTTTTAAAGCAATAAGCTTGATGTGCCACACTCGCGGATCCTAGTTGTATGTGAGCAAACGAATTTACTGTTAAAGAGATATGTTTTTCAACGCTCAGTTGTCACAACTAAGCCTCATCTAAATATCAAATCATGCAGACATTATTAGATTACGACTAAGTACCATGATAGACGGATTACCCCTTGTAAGCAATGTCATTTTCTTAGACTTGAAATCCTATACTAATCACCAGTGCGGAGAAAGCTCTAGTAAATAAAGGTCAAATATTTCAAACTCTGTACGAAATTCTTCAAGAAGTTATTTTTTAATTTGGAGATGCGATGGTAGTTGGTTGATAAATTGGGCTTTTTACTAAAAAAATAACGTGGCTTTTATTGACCCAATTTCGTGGAATCTTAATAATAACAATACTCAAATCATATCGAAAAAGTTTCTCTAATTTCCTCTTCGGACAGGAAATTAAATGGTCGAGACCGAAGTAAATTATTGTTTGCTTTATCGTGTCGTACGCGTTTGACTAATGCCACTTTTAAAATTTCAACGAATCAAGACCCACGAATGTTTACTTACAACAGGAAGGAGCAATGGTAGCCATATACCTGTTGAAACCTCGCTCCGTGTCGTCATGATTGCCACAGCTAAAATCAAAGTGGCAAGGGCTGTTAAGAGCGAAGCAACAGCGATGGCAGATGCGATAAAGAATAATGGGTTATGATTCACTGTATCAGAATCTTTATACGGCTGTGTTTCCACGTTTGGTTTTGCCTGTGGAGTGTCCTTTCTGAAAACTACACTGTCTTAGGTTTCGGCGTTATCTTCTTGTTTAGATTCCATTTCGAAATAAATGTTCTCCTGCCCGACCTCGATCTTAGTATTCATCATTGAGTGGTATGATTATGCCGTTTGTGAAACAGATCATCGGGTGGTATGATTATGCCGTTTGTGAAACAGATCCACTTTAGACTCTTCTTGGGGCGAAACGTGCTAAGGCAGACCAAAGAGATGCTGAAATGCGATGCGATACGATCATATGATCATCACTGACCCGATGATAGAGCAAAGATTGACTGGTTCATGAACTGTCTTAAAATAGACTAATGTCAGAAAGAATTTGTCTCGACGTAGGCTTATAGATTGTACAATAAAGGATTGAACTGACCTTAAATGATGATGAAAGCATTATTTAACAAGATGATTATGCTGTCTTGATATTGATTCAGGTTATCACTATCCGACCCACTTTCCAGTGTACAGTGAGATATCAAGGTGGAAGCAAATGAGGTATAGAGGTTTTCATTTTGATGTTTTAGTCTTCGATGGGCTGAAGTCAAACCAAAATTAAAATTTTCTTGCCTTTAATGATCCACTGGTTTCGTAGAGGCCACCTTTGACTGCATTTAATGCTTAGGTAATTTGAGAGGTGACACGAAACATTTTCCGAAATAGCTACAGTACATGACAGTGTGGCAAAATTGGTGCCTAGCTCGAAATATCGACGATAAAATGGAGTGTTTCACTCTAGGAATTTTGGATAAATAAATGATGATAAGTGTTCGACGAGAATTCATCAATTTATTTGACATATGCTGTAATTGTCTTGCGTTGTTAAATGGTGTTAAACGATAAAATTACAATTATAGTTAATCTACAATATCGTAAGGGTTTCCTGTATTAGTGTTGGAAAGAAAAGGAATGGAAATATTATTTTATTCTAAGTCATTTAATGTAAATTATAAAAAGGGCAGGTTGATTACTTCGTACTCCTTCTTGGTGGTCTTATCTTAAAGGTTGAGTTTAATCACGTTCTTCTTTTGAGTTTGGCCACGTTCACCTAGCGAGTTTAATCACGTTTTCTTCGTTGTGATCGTGAGGTTGACATGGAACTCGTGATAAGCCGTGTTCTTAAATAAGTTAATTTGTTAGTCCAGGAAGAGTAAATCTCCCTGGTAATAGATCGCGTTCGACACCTTCGTGTTCCCAGAGGTAATTTAAGGGTAAACAGGTGATGTCCCTCATGTTTTCGCAACAAGAAGCAATTTGGGGGCGGTACTTGAGAGCGCCTTTCTTCTTTAACTCTTGTGACCAAGATGTTGTTATGTAACAATCTTTTAAGGCGATTTTCTCTTAAGATACACTTTTAGGTATAAATAACACTCTACACCAAGGTTATTTGTAATTTTTATATTGTCGATCTCGTTTCTGTTCTGGCCGATCTCAACCGTAAAGATATGAAAATTAGGGAAGAAATTGATTTTGTAACTGCGTAGACAACCCTAAGGTGCTTACTCAGTATGTGGGAACTATAATACGTAGTCAAGCGTGATTCGCTAGTTGAGATTGGACGATGACGACACAAGAAGATTGACGGCTTAGAAATATCATCCGCAGTGTCACCTTTATAAGCGGAGACTCTAGTTTTCTCTGATATATTGAAGCTAGTTCCCATTGTAACAACTTGAGAAGAAAATTAATTAAAGAAGGATCAACCAAACCACAAACGAGTGTTAGAGAAATTAATTCTAACAATGGACCTGTCTTGAGACAGACGACGTGGAACGCATAACACCAGTTGCTTGGGGCGGAATTTAGATTTGGCATAGACGAAAACACTATTTGATTGGATTGATTTAACTGATTCTTTGCTGAAAAAAATACCGTCGTCTCCTCAAGAGGGAGACTTCTTGTTAGCTCTTCTAAAAATACAATTATTTTCTGGAGCCAAGTGCTTCATCCAAGGGTAAATCTCTGACTCTTTGTCCAGTGTCATACTTTCCGAGAGAGCGACATATACCGCAACTAAGGAAGACTAAACGCGAAAATCAGTAAGACCGATAACTATTTGTTGGGAATTAGATAATTGCCTGACAACACAATGTTTTTCCCGATAAACTCGCGCTGAAATCACTCACTCACGATAGAATTTTAAACAGATATATTTGTGTCTCACGATGTCCCGATTACGATTACAACACACTCTTCGATTTCTAGAACAAAAGATACAGCAAATTGTACAATGTGTTCTTTGATTGGCTTAAGTTACTAGCGATGACAGATTCAATGCCTATCCCTTTCCGGTCAACTAAACAATTCTATATGCATTAAAATGTTTTGATTACGTAAACACACGATTTCCGACAATTCTTTAACAAGCCAATGCTTCAGAAAATGTTGCGCAAAAATTAAGCAAAGACTGATTAATTATAAAAAGCTACCTTAAAGGATTGGCGTAACCTTTTTCGTTGTAAAAGGGCACATGCGTTATACTGTACTTTTTTAAGGAGCATGAGACATCTAAGACACACGGCCATAAATTAAGACAATCACTTGTCTTTTTTTTTTTTTCTTCTCAGTCGAATGTTCACTTACAATCATTCTTGCATAACGTGATATCTTGAAGCCCTTTTCTTTCCCACTTTTTTTTTGTCTTTAGTCTAAATCATGTCTTTTTCCATTATCAGGTTTGCAATTTATGGTGATGATTCTTGTTTTGAGCCCCAAATTCCTAAGGGAGTTGTCTATGCAACGGGTCATAGAGGTGCAAGTCTACCTACCCTGAAGAGCGCCATGATCCGTTGGAAAAGTCGAGGAGGTGTTGAATGCGTGAGACTTCATCATGACCAAAGCTAAAACCAAAGCTGTTATAGCCGTGAGGAAGGCTGTGGTGCCAACTGCAATTGATATGAACAGAAGTCGCCGAGTTACGTCTGTATTTGATTGCCAGGCATCTATAGGCTGGGATCGTTCTTGTTCGTTAATCTCCTCTCTTTCTCCGAACTTTCCAAACCAACCGGTGTTTTTTTCAGTCACGGTAGCTGAGTTATTACTTGTTTCTGCACTACTTCCCTTTTTGATCAGCTCCATCTCGGCGAAAAAATGTCCTTTCACCCACCGTCTGCCTAAATTAATTAGTGATTGTGGATTGAGGATGCTAATTATCTTTCAGTCGTACTTTGCCCTTTAAGTCTAAAATCGATTGCTCTCGTTCAATGGTGGATTAGTGGTAATTAAATAAAGCGCAGTTCTCAAAGGACCATTCACTCTTGAAAAGCATCGAGCTGTCGCAATTAAAATTGATAAGTGATTTACGTGTGCTCTTTTAATTACATAAACCGACAGAATACGAATTGTTTGAAATTTGCGCATGATGAAACGCATTGTTTATTATTCTTTACTTATACTGGGAGTTTAACCTGAAATCATCAATCAAATCCTTTCATTATTTTACTTTTTTAAAGGTACATTATAAGTCTGTAATTTAGTACTGCTTTGGGAACATCTCACTTTTATTGTGAGGCATGTTGATGTCAATGAATACTTCACCCATAGGATTCCTTCTTGAATAATTTTTTTCAAAATTGTTTTCCAAAAAATTGACTATATCAGTTTTGATAAGCTTAGTTTGAGCTGAAAACTGCAATCACTCCACTCGTCGAAAAGTACCGATCAGATTATGAATAACGAAGGAAAATCGGTCTTAATTACAAACCAGTGACTTGAATGAGATTGACTGTGCTGACAAGATTCTAATTGCGGTACAGCAATGCTGCAGTGACATAAGAAATCCGGTATGAGGCCAAGTACACTGAAGGTGCCAACAATGACAGACAAACGCATTAAAAGAAAAAGAAAAAAAACGTGCTTTTAAAACTATTTTGACTCCAAAAATTCATGCCAGTGTCAACAAAGAGTATGATTGGCATGTGTACGGTAGCGTCGCCGATGGAACACATTAAGTTTTTTTTTATTTCTGAGCTTTGCGGCCTTTTTGTTGTCGTCTAAGAATTATTTTGACTCTGTATTACAATTTCTACTTATCACATAATTATACTACGAGCCACATACAATAAAAATAGGCAAACATTGGCAATAATATGTCAGTGAAAACAGTCAACAGTACAACCAACAAATGAACTTCATTCGCTGCTTTGTCTTTCCCCGACACATTATTGCCAATGTTTGCCTATGCATAACTATGAAAAAAGTTGGTAATTAGGGAATATGGCATATTCCCTAATTATGAATTCTTTTGTAGCCACCAGGTCATTTCTGAAATTGAGATGAACAGAATTCTAAAGATTTAATTTTCTGCCAAGGGGAAGTAATAGAGTTTAATACTGACTTGAAAACGAAGAGAAAAAATATTGCAATGGTCAGCCATGTGTCATAGAATTCAGTTGAAGATTCGAATCATCAATTGAATTCATGCGTCTTTTGCACTTGACAGGAAAATTATTACACCTCAGCACAGTACTTCTGTACTGTACTTCACAAGCGGCAGCACAAAAAATGACTAACCCAACGGGGTTGTTTTTTCTTCTGCTCTTTCACTCTGCCTGTGGACTTAAGCTTAAATTGGCAGACTATTCTCAGGTTTTTCGCCACTAACTGCAACTGTGTAAATTCGACAGTAATAAAGCATCAACGATTGGTGAAACAGCAAAACTAATTTAGGACTGCTTAATTTGTTCGTCCTATGGCCGCTATTTGAAAACTCCATTATCTTTGACACAAAATATCATGTTAAGTGAACAGTTTTTAAACCCCGCACGGTGTTGGGAGAACACGAGAAAAGCGGAATAACTTGAACATGACACCTTAACATTACTTGCAGGAGGCGCAGCCGAGTGATTAACAAGCTTTTTGAGAACGCATTGGCACCGATAATTCGAGTTGAAATTGTAAAGAATACCGACCAGAAATAACGGAATGCAAGATTATGATGAGGGCTCAAAGTGCTACTGAAGAATACTGCAAGTTCTACGGAGTACATGCCAAAAATGTGGCCAGAATTGATCTTGCGATTGTGCCTGACAATCTGTACGGAAAGTCTCGTGAGTCCGCAAGCCTAAGAAGCAGTTTTAAAATTGTCTGAGCTTGTTTAGCGAAATGATGGTCACTTGCAGATTTTTCCTTATGATATTTATTGCTATTATAATATCTTAACATTAAATTCTTAAATAACATTATTAGATCGCATTATGACAAAAGCATCAAAATCGAGGGACAGCAATATCGGGCCATATTGTGTATACACTGGTTCAAATGCCGTTCAGATATATATATATTTTTTTTTTTTTTTTTCAACGCGGTACACTGTTCTCTTTTAACCAAATTTGTTTCTGTTCCCTCTGCTAAAACTTGAAGAAATTAATTTGATTACACTATGGTCAGAAAAGCATGCTTATTTGATGTAACGTCGAGCGACTACAGTCATTGTCTCAAGAAGGACTGCGTTTCAATAAATTCGTGTCTTCGACCACAGTTTTCTATTGTCCCGCCTTTCAGAACGCTTCCTGGAGCGCGTTAGCGGTACAATTATGGCAGCAGGCGACATTTTTTTCGCTTCGCTGTCGCCATTTTGTTTGTCTACATTGGTTCACGCAATTTTTAAACGTCACCCGATGGAACCTGAGATCAAGGCTGAAGTCTACGGTGGCCCATAGAGGACATGCCATATTTTTTTTAAATTTTATTTTATTTTACTTTATTTTATTTGTTTATCGCGCGATAACTGATAAATTATTGCGCGATAAATGATAAATTATCGCGTGATAAATGAAAAGTTAGTGCGCGATAAATAAAAATTATCGCGCGATAATTTATCATTTATCGCGCAATAAATGGGAAAAATGTTAGGTCACTTAATCGGCTGTTACGCACGTTGTTTCCGTGGACGACAATGGTTGCCACAGTTTAAGGAGATATGTTTTGAGGTCAATAGTTCATTTTATTTACATAAAGAGATTAATTAGCAGTACTTTGCAATACTTCTACGACACATAGCTCTGTGAATCAGTACAGTAAACCTTGATTTTGCGAAATCTTACAAGACACTTTCAGGGATGACTGTCAGTGTCTGAGAACGAGAGTGGATTATCTAATCCGTCTCGTTTCGCTAATTACAGTAAAATCAGCAGCCAACAATTTTTTCGCTTCGCTGTCGCCATTTTGTTTCTACTGACCTTAAAACATACCTCCTCAACTGTGGCAGCCATTGTCGTCCACGGAAACAACGTGCGTGACAGCCGATTACGTGACCTAACATGTTTCCCATTTATCGCGCGATAATTTTTCATTTATCACGCGATAATTTTTCATTTATCGCGCGATTATTTCCATTTATCCGTCAAACCTAAATAAATATTAGGTGGCCATGATTCCCAAGAAATGTGTAAGCCCTGTAAATGTGACATCTACATACTGGATGAAAAACATACAATCCTTTTTAATTTGATATTACTCCAATATATTTTCTTTTTTTAAGAGATATTTTGGATTTCTCACATTGAAATTTGATGCAGCCAGGGACAAATTCTCGAAATCAAGCAAGAAATTGATCGCGATTAGATAATGCATATATGTTATAACAGGGGCGTAACTGGGGGGAGGGGTTTCTCTGGAGTTCCTAGGCACCCGTGTCGTCCCATCTTCCCCCCTCCCTTTGTAAGCGTCTTTCTTTTTTGCCTTACTAGGTGAAACACGGCATGAAGGTGGATACGACAATCTGGTGAGTACCCCCTGTTTGACACAGTGTGAGACCCGAATTGAAAAATCTAAGCTATGCCCCTGTCTGTACGGGAAAGACTCAATATAATTCTTTTCGGTATTGACCGATAGGTGAGAACGTTAATAAAAAGACAACGGGCGCGAAAGTTAGTGGTGAAAAAGGAACCGAGTTTCTGATTTAATAAATCATGTACACCTTTGAATGGGTATGGATGACAGGAGAGTAGGTTAGCCTATTAAATATTAAATATTATTTTCTTCACAAAAAAACCTGTTTATCAAATGGCTCTCTGTTTTTCCTCTTACAGCTGACACTCCTAGTAGTGCATGCAGCAAAACATCTGCGTTTCCAAACTTGTTTCCACTTGTAGGTTCTCTTTCCACCTGAGATGGTGCTTGATAATTTAGCAGCTTTTGCATCACTTGTATCACAGTTTACACCAATAAACATCTTACCCTGCAGAAAAAATACACTTAATGATTATATTAACAGTGATGACAATAATGAAAATGATACATGTGTCAAGAGTTGGAAATGCGAAGACCTAAACCATGTATTTCCTTTTTGTGATTAGGTAAGGGTAAATGTTACACCATTCATGATGTAACTTGTACGCGGCCGACGACTAGAATCCGAGGCATTCATTGTGCACCATGTTATTATAAGAGTAGCCTTCAAATGTAGGAACCCAACAAAGGAAATACGCGTTCTTTTTTCAATACTGAGGTCTAAATGTATACGCTGAGAATAAACAACGCATGACTAGGTTCTTATGCGGGCAGGTCGTTCGCACATCATCTCTTTAGTTTATTTATTTATTTATTTTATTTGATCGAGAAACAGAGTTAGCAGTTGTTTTTGAAAATATATATTGGCAAACCTTTCTTCGTTCCATGAAGGGGTAAGGAGATCATTATTTGCAGACTTATAAAACTTACCGTAGATATCCTAAAGGGTACGAAATTGTAAAGAACGCATTTCAATTTACATCTAGCGGTGAAATGAACCTGCCCAATAAGTTAGTGCTGAAGGCCGTCATAAGTTGATAAATGTCTCCTTTTTATATGCTAAAACATCAACTCGCCAGAAAGTGATGAAAAGTAAAGACTTCAAAGCATCGAAATGAACTTGGGAGTTCAGTACACTTCGAATCTCAAAAGCGAGATGGACTAACGCTGGAAATTGAAAAGGAAGCTTGTTGCCTCTGAGACTTTTCGATATTTGGACTACTGTTTGTACCGATAAATATCATTTTAAGTGTTAATATGTCCTAAAAATATTTTTAAATAGAAGTTGTTTTCATTTCAGAACCAAACAGCTTTCAGAATTTTCAAATGAATGCTACGCGAATTTTCTGGCCGTGAAGCTCAGTAAACAACTATTTCACTGATAAATCTATCGACTGGTTTCCGTTTATACGACAGACAGCTGCTCGTTTTCACCTCTAAACAGTAGATTTAAGCGGTTCTATGGAAACAGGCTTGGCCTCTAGATTTTTCTTGGCCATTTTGTCTTCCTTTCTTTACGATAGCGTTTATCATCTACTAATCCCGACAATTTTGCATATCGACTTAAAGCGTGTTCTGCATTTCTTATCGTAAATCGTTATTTCTGAGGAAAACTTTTTGAGTAAAAATACCAATTGCTTCCCTAAAAATCCGGTAAAGAAAACCAAAACGGGCTGGTTTTTGCATGAAAATGACGTTGATACCACTCTTCTAGAGACTGAAAATGTAATCAACAAAACGTTTATGCCGCGAAATGATGCTTAGAGGATTTCTTTAAATCTATATATCTTCGGAATAACTTCCTTCATTGCGACATTTAACCTATCTACTTTTAAACTTGAGAAAAAATCCAGGGAGCCCCTCTACGTTCAGTTTAAAGATCAAAAGTGTTAAAGCTTCCTAGAGTTCTTTTTACTGGGATACCTGTGGTAGCCCAGTCATAAAATGCCTTTGTTTTTTTGTCGTCTTTTTTTTTTTTTTTTTTTTTTCCTCCGCCACAAAATGGAAAAATTGCGCAATAGTACCCAGTGGTCATTGGGCCCTCAACACCATGACAACTAACTGTGATCCAATGAGGGTGAAGGTGTTCACATGCTGATCACGTGTTATCTTGATGATGATTGACGTTGTCATGCACGGACAGGTCCGGGTCACATGACGAACACGAGATTTTTGCTTAGAAAACTCTTCTGTCGGTCGTTTTGTATTTCAACGTGTTCTGATTACGATCACTTGAAGCATTATAGCGCAAACGCTCGAAATACTTACAGACGCATACACAAGTCGTATTGTTCGCGGCCAATCCACACTAAAAGATGTTATTGAGCGGTAATTTTGGACTGGATTGAGTCGCGAATTGTGTATCCGTTGTAGTTTCTGGTGATTTCTGCCGTTTTAAGCTTGCTTTACCATCACTGTTATTCACATCATCTACTTTTGTTACGTTGGTAAAATCTGTACAGACATCACACAAACCAACTCGCACACAAAGTAAGAAGAGTATATTGAAGGCTTGAAATTATATTATGATCGATTTTCATCAAGAAATGGGCCAGGAATTTTCCACAATAGTGCAAATAATCGTGAAGGCTGATCGAGGAAAAGCGATTGCGTGACGCTCGGTAAGCTGTAAGATGACATGTTATTATTTACCAGACGTAAAAACTCTTCAGATTCTCAGTCTGCATTTTGTACCCACTCTGCAGTCTCCAGTCTTTATTTTGTATCCGGTCTGCTGACTGCATTTTGTACTAACAGGTATCTGTGGCACCAATACAGTTTATTTTTGGTTACATTTATTCGCACAACACACATAATCTACCACAAAATACCTGTGTGTGAGGTAATTCGACATTTTCGTTCTTTTCCACGTTAATACTCTTCTTTCCTTTTGTAAGAATGTAGACCACAAGTAATCCACCCACCCTACAAAAAATAACTCTTGCATACATAGCATGCCTATGTTTTGAAATAGGTGTATGCCCTTAGCCACACTTGAGCTCACTATTTCAGTATACTAATCCGACACCCGTAGTATCACTACACTTGATTCCAAGGATCCAGTACCATCCAGGTATCCCAGTTACCCTGCTCACAGGGTCTAGTATGATTTTGAAGAACCAATAATAGATAAAGTTTGGGAACAAATTTTTAATAAAACAATTAATTCTTTTTTCTGTACTATAGAGAGCTGATATGTGACTTAAGTTTGGTTCTGTCACTCGCACTTCTTATCTAGCGAACGAACCTGCTATCATTCCAGAGCTGGATAAAGTCTTGAAACACAGAAACTGGTCCCGGGCCCAGGTGATTCCTGGGTACCATTGTAACTGGACGGTCCATCAGGGCCCTGAACATCAGGTTCTCCAGATGGTCCCGCATGACCCTGAGTACCATTATATCCAGGAGGTCCGGAAGGTCTGGTAGGTCCAAAGTCACCATTAGTACCATTGTATCCTGGAGGTCTGGGAGGTCCGGGCTGGAATAAATAAGTTTTCGACTCGACTCAGAATTTTTTTTTTTTCACTTATTTTTTTTTTTTTTTTTTTTTCATAAAATATATGACTTTACCCCCTGGGGTATTGAAAGATAAAAACCGCAAAAATGTCAACAAAACAGTCTTAACATCTACAACTTAGATGGCTTTTATTGAAATGAACAAATCTGGCCATTTGAGTTTTCGAAAAAATACGAAAGGAAAATTCGAGCTTGTCGTGTCTCTCTTGAAAGAGAAACAGGACTAGAATATCTGAACAAGCCGTTTTCTGGCGGCTGAGCTATCCGAGTGTTTCTCCCCTCTTCTTGAGTTCACTCGAAGGCCGGCCGATGTCAGTTCTAAGGCTTGCATATATTACTTCGATGACTGGAGATCGCAATGATGAGCTAGCCGCGATGGACCTCAACACGATCGCAGTCGCTCTGACTCCGTCATGATTACTAAGAATTTTAACAGCTATGCCAATTTGGCAATGTTTTTCATCGTTCCTGTTTTGTTTTGTTTTGTTTTTGAGCACGAAACTTTACATGCTAAACGAGTGCTTGCTGTGTTTGATTTTTATTACCATAACTAAGCTTACAATCAAACTGAGCGTGAGAACCTTGAAAGCTAAGACTTTCCATTTCGTTTTCTCTTTGAGGATTTTCGTCTCAGCACGCGTTATAATTACTTAAATTAAGGCACCTGGCATGTTTACAAACCTTTGTTTGGTTCTTCTGTTGCTACTTGCCGGCTCTCTTCTTCCGAAATTTCACTTTCAATTAACCAAAAAAGAAGCTAGAGAGAAGTCCGGGAAAAAGGTCGGACATAGTACAATTCAGCAGATGATGTGACAACTTTAGCTCAGCTCTATGCTCTATACTCTCATAAAAAAAAAAAAAAAAAAAAAAAAAAAAAATATATATATATATATATATATATATATATATATATATATATATATATATATATTACTCTTACCGAACATTTTTGTAGAGCCGAGAGGATCGTCTCTAACTCCTGAACCTTCTTTTCAACCCGTGACTTACCTGGGAGAGTATATAGTTTAACAATCATGCCACAGTAAGAATAATAACTCAACGGACAGGGTTAGATTAAAACTTTAGTTAACAAATAGAGAAGCCTTGACTGTGATCTGTTCTGTTATAAAGCACGCAGGAAGCGGCTAGAGCTCGGCTGCAGTGACTGATGTGAATTGCCACTTAACGTATCGGAAAGGATATCAGAGCAAGCTCTTATTTTTTCACCTGAAGGGCGGCCGATGTAGTTTCTGAGGCTTGCTTTACTGTGATGACCGGAGATCGCCATGATGAGCGAGCCGCGATGAACTTCAGCATGATCATATTCGCTCAGACACCGTCATGATTAGTATGAATTTTAACTATTCTGCTAGTTTGGTTATATTTTTCATCATATGTTTTGTTCTGTTTTGTTTTTGAACACTGAACTTTATACACTATACGAGTGTTAGCTGTGTTTGATTTTTATTACCGTACGTAAGCTTGATTCTTTTGTTGCTACTTGCCGGCTCGCTTCAGTTCCAAAATTTCACTTTCAATTATCGGAAAAAAACTAAAAAGAAGTCCCGGAAAAGCTCGAACATAGTACAATTGGCAGATGACGTGACAGCTGTAGCTCAGCTCTATGCTCTATACTCTCATAGAGCACGCTCTTTCAACCAATGACAGCGCGCGTTATATCTGAACTTTATTATAAATTGATTATATATCCGCATTTGTACAAATAAATGTAATGACTCTTTGTTGAACATTTCGCTTCGCTATCATCCCTTGCGTGTTCGAGATAGCAATCAGCGGGGTCATTGCTCACTATTCCTTACATGTGATTTAAGAATCTAGTAGTAAAGTGCAGGTTATATTATTACTTTTTCTTTTTTTAAATGATCGATGTACTTTTACAGTAACATGCTTGATGTGCCACACTTACGAATCGAAGTTGTGTTGGTGAGAGAGCAGACGAGGTTACTGTTTTGGAGAATAAAGAAATGTGTTATTCAACGCTCAACTGTCTCAACTTAGCCTCGTCTAAATATAAAATTGTGCAGACACTATAGAAATGCCCTTGCTGTTCACAATCACAGATAAGTATTATGATAGAGGGTTTGCCCCTTGAAAACAATGTCATTTTCTTAGACTTGAAATCCTATACAAATCATCAGTGTGAAGAAAGCCTTAATAAATAAGGTCAAATATTTCAAACTCTGTAGGAAGTTCTTCAAGAAATTATTTTTTTAATTTGGGGGTGAAAACTTAATGCGAGTGTAGTTGGTCGATAAATAGGGCTTTTACTTAAAAAAGAGTATGGCTTTTATTGACCCAGTTTCGAAGAATCTAAATAATAACAACACCCAAATCATATCGAGACGTAAGTTCCTCTAAGTTTCTCTTTGGACAGGAAATGGTCAGGACTGGAGTGAATTATTTTTTGCTTCATCGCGTCGTTAATCAATTCACTTTTTCAATCACATTTATGATTTGAATGGATCAAGACCTACGAATGTTTACTTACAACAGGAAGGGGCAATGGTAGCCGTACTTGTAGAAACTTCCTTCCGTTTTGTCATGATTGCCACAGCAAAAACTAAAGTGGTAAGGGCTGTTAAGAGCGAAGCAACAGCAGTGGCAAATGCGATAAACAGTGATCGGTGATGTTTCATTGTATCAGAATCTCTATACAGCTGTGCTTTTACGTTTGGCTTTGCCTAAGGAGTGTCCTTTCTGAAAACTACATCGTCATAGGTTTCGGCGTGATCTTCCTGTTTAGATTCCATTTCGAAATAAACGTTCTCTTGCCCGACCTCGATCTTAGTATCCATCATTGGGTGGTATGATTATGCCGTTTGCAGATCGGATTAACTTTGGACAAGCTTAGGCAGGCCAAAGAGGCAATAACATGCGATGTGATATGGCAATCACAGACGGCGCTCTTATGGGAAACAGTGAAAATTGACTGGTGCGTAAGCTGTCTGAAAATATAAAAGTAAACGTTTGTTTCGAAGAAAGTTTATAGACAGTACAGTGAACAATTCAACTGACTTAAAATGGTGATGTGAGTATTATTTAACAAAAAGATTACCCTCTCCTGTTATAGATCTAGGCTGTCATAATCAACTCGCTTCTTTGGATTTCGTTTTAAATAAATGTTTTTAATCCGTGTATCAATAATCTGAAGACGTTATGTAGATGATTAAAAGCCGAGGGGCACATGATGTTTCTGTTTTTCAGATGAGGTCAAAGGAGATTTGTATAGCTCTGTAAACATTCATCTCCACTCTCGTTTTTCTAATGACGATCCACTTTTGTTTTCCTCTACCTAAGATGAAGCCATAAAGCCAATGTACAATGCTGATGAAAGAACTGAATTTGCTCACAGCTCTTTCAGGAATTCTATTTGAGACCAATAAAAAACCTGAAATGTAAAGTTAAAGTTGCAAACAGTACTTATGTAAGGCCTGCTCTAGATCATAAGCAGCCTTGAGTCATCTGTATTCGTCTCAAGTCCTAACACCAGCAGAATCTCCAAATAATCCAGAAGGCAACAACAACAACAAATAACCAAAACATTCTGAGAAGGCAAAAGCAGTGCAGGTATAAGAGGTAGGGGGGGGGGGACGCATTTCGTTCTGTCTCTCTGTCTCTCTTAGCATTATAGACTGATCTGACCATCCACTAGGCGCTACGGAAAGGATGTAGTTGAAATGCCCTCCAACAGAAAACGACATAACGCTCATAACGACATAATTCTGTTGCCGTCCTACAGAGCGATGGACTAAGTCTTAAATTAGCTGTAAATAATGGCTGCAATGTGATTAACTCATACATTATTCGGAACCTGCCACAACTTTGCAAGTTCAAAAATATTTATGACTCGACGACATAGTTTAAAATGATGCCGTCAAGAAATAAAACAGTTTAACTTCTATTGATTCGTTGGTTTTCTTTATCTGGCCGCTGGTTTGACACCCCCGATTTGTTATCCGTTTGATACAAAGTATCATGTCAAGGGAATAGTTTTAGGTTTCCAGCAGTGTACAAGGCAAGAAAGCCTTGTTTCTTCTGTAAACAATATTTGCTACAAATACAAATGTAATATAGCGCTTACGTTAGACAACTAAATTGTTTTTTCTTCTCGCTTTTGATTCAATATTCTATTAACATCTTTAAAACGACTCCTGTTAAACAAATGGCTTAACGTTTTCCTCTTTATAACTGACACTCCCAGTAGTGGATATAGCAAAACATCTTTGGTTCTCCAGTTGTTAGGGTACCCTCACAAGAGCACTTGAAGGTTCTCTTTCCACCTGAGATGGTGCTTGATAATTTAGCAACTTTTGCATCATTTGTATCACAGCTTACACCAATAACCGTCTTACCCTGAAGGAGAAAAAAGACCTTTAATGATTATGATACAATAATGACAATAAAAAATGGTGTCAAGAGTTCGAAATGTGAAAACCTAAACCAGTTTTTTCCTTTTCGAGATTAGGCAAGTGTACATGTTATATCATTCATGATGTAAGATGCACACGGCCAGCAACCATAATCTGAGACATACTTTGTGCACCATGTTATCACAGGCATATATAATAAATGCATCCTTCAAATCTAGGAACTTATATTAACAAAGAAATACGCGTTTTTTTTAAATACCGGCGTCTAAATGTATAAGCTGGGATAAACCAATGCATTACCAGGTTCCCAAACGGGCAGGTCGTTCGCGCATCATCTTTTCAAATCATTTTATTTTTTTAATTGGTCGAGATACAGAGTCAGCAACTTTTTTGAAAATAAATATATTTGCAAACCTTTCATCGTGCCCTGACAGGCTAAAGAGTTCATTACTTGTAGAATTATAAAACTGACCGTAGATATCCTGAAGGGTACGAAATTGTGAAGAACGCACGTTAATTGACATCTAGCGGTAACATAAACCTGCCCAATAAGTTCGTGCTGAAGTTCGTAATAGTTTGTTCAATGTCTTCTTTCATATATGCTAAAAACATCAACTCGCCAAAAACTGATGAAGATTTGAGACTCAAAAGCGTCGAAATGAACTTGGGAGTTGAGTATACTTCGAATCTCAAAAGCGAGACGGACTAAAGGTGGAAAAAATAAAGGAAGGTTGTTGCCTTTAAGTGAGGCTTTTCGATATTTGGACACTCTTTGTACCTATAAATATTACTTCAAGTGTTAATATGTCTTAAAAATTTTTAAATAGAAGCTGTTTTATTTCAGAATTATACAACTTTCAGAATTTGCAGATCGATGAATGTTACACGAATTTTCTGGCCGTGAAGTTGAGTAAACAACTAGTTAAGAAAACGGCTTGACCTTTAAATTTTTCCGGCTATTTCGCCATCCTTTCTCTTTGATAGCGTTTAGCAGCTGATAACCCAGATCATTTTGCATATTATGCGTATTGGACATTTTTAATCGTAAATCGTCATTTCAGAGAAAAATTTTTGAAGTAAAAATACCAGTTGATTCACTAAAAATCGGGCAAAAATACCAATACAGGCGGATTTTTGCATGAAAACGACGTTAATACCACTCTTATGAAAGTAGAAAATGTCACCATCAAACGTTTTTGCTGCGAAATTGTGCTGATAGGTTTTCTTCAAATCTACACATCTCTTGGGAAATCTTCGTTCATTGCAACATTTCAACCTATCAACCTTTAAACTTGAGAAAAAATCCAGGGAACCACTCTGCGTTAAATTTAGAGATCAAAAGTGTCAAAGCTTCCTAAAGTTCATTTATGATATCGAAGAACGAATAAGAGAGAACTTTTGGGAACAAATTGCTGATAAATCGCTCAATTCTTTTTTCTGTACCCAATAAAGAGCTGATCTGTAACCTACGTTTGGTTCCGTAACTTGAACTTCTTGTGTAGCGGCAGGGTCTGCTGTCATTCCAGAACTGAATGAAGTCTTGAAAGCACAGGAACTGGCCCCGGGTCCAGGGGGTCCTTGGGTACCATTGTACCCGGATGGTCCACGAAGGCCCTGAACACCAGGTTCTCCAGATGGTCCTGCGGGGCCCTGAGTACCGTTATATCCTGGCGGTCCGGGACGTCCTGCAGGTCCTGCAGGTCCGGCAGGTCCAATGCCACCCTTAGTACCATTGTATCCTGGAGGTCCGGCAGGTCCAGCAGGTCCAATGTCACCATTACTACCGTTGAATCCAGGCGGTCCTATGATGCCCGTGCTGCCAGTAGTATTTTTCACCTATTCAATCAAAAAACAACAACAATTCATTGTAACCATGGCAATAAAGCCATAATAAAACTGATGACAGCTGTAATAATAATGACATTTACCGCAATAACAATGACAATAACAGTGACTGTGATAGAGAAAGTGACGATGACGGTGACAGTGAAAACAACATTGAAAGTGAAGGTGAAAGTGATGCTGACAATGAGTGACAGTGGCAGTCAAAGTGGCACTGGCAGTGACAGTGACGGTGACGGTGACAATGACTATGACAGTGACAGTGACAGTGACAGTGACAGTGGTAGGGGCAGTGGCAGTGGCATTTACAGTGGAAGTGACAGTAACAATGACAGTGAAAATGCAGTAATAGAGAAAGTGACAGTGACAGTGAAAGTGACAACAAAAGTGACAGTGACAGTGACGGTGACAGTAACAGTGACAGTGAAAGTGCAATAGCAGTGGCAGTGACAGTGGCAGTTACAAGACAGTGACGGTGAAACTGAAAGTGAAAGTGACGGTGACAGTGAGTGACAGTGGCAGTGACAGTGGCAGTAACAAGACAGTGAAAGTGAAAGTAAGTGTGACGGTGAAAGTGACAGTGACTGTGACAGTAACAGTGGCAGTGGCAGTGGCAGTGGCTTTGACAGTGAAAGTTAGAGTGACGGTGAAAGTGACAGTGGAAGTGACAGTGAAAGTGACAGTGAAAGTGACCATAAACATGACAGTGACAGTGACGGTGACAGTAACAGTGACAGTGAAAGTGCATTAGCAGTGGCAGTGGCAGTTACAAGACAGTGACGGTGAAAGTGAAGGAGAGACAGTGAAAGTGACAGTGACAGTGGCAGTGACAGTGGCAGTGACAGTGACAGTGAAAGTGATAGTAATAGTGACAGTGCAGTCATAGTGAAAGTGACAGTATCAGTGACAGTAACAGTGCAGTCATAGTGAAAGTGGCAGTGACAGTGAAAGCGACAGTAAAAGTGACAGTGATAGTGACAGTAACAGTGAAAGTGGAATAGCAGTGAAAGTGACAGTGACAATGAAAGTGTCAGTGAAATTTACAGTGGCAGTGACAGTGAAATTGATAGTGACAGTAATAGTGAAAGTGATAGGGACAGTGACAGTGAATGTGACAGCAGCAGTGGCGGTGACAGTGAAAGTGACAGTGGAAGTGGCAGTAGTAGTGAAAGTGAAAGTGAAAGTGGCAATAGCAGTGACAGTTACAGTGACAATGAAAGTGAAAGAGGCAGTGGCAGTGGCAGTGGCAGTGACAGTGATAGTGACAGTGACAGTGACAGTGACAGTGACAGTGAAAGTGACAGTGAAAGTGACAGTGAAAGTGAAAGTGAAAGTGAAAGTGAAAGTGGAGGTGACAGGGACATGGACAGTGACAGTGACAGGAACAGTGACAGGGACAAAGACAGGGACAGGGACAGGGACAGGGACAGTGACAGTGACAGTGACAGTGACAGTGACAGTGACAATGGTAATGGCACTTCCAAAACGGGAGGCTCATTGATGAAAAGTTTCATTGGTGGAAAACAACGCTGAATTAAGTTGGTTGTAAAAAAAGGAACCTAGTCAAGCCAAAATACTCATTTTAAAGTGCCTATGACATAAAAATTTTTTTTTGCATTTTCTGGTTATTAGCTCTATTTAAAATTAGAAATAACCAACCTTAGCGCCTAGCGAGTTCTCCTGGACTATTTTTTTGTGCACTGAAAGTGCGATTTGTTGGCCGGAGTGCCAAACGATGTTAGCTTAAAGAACAGTACAAATATACCGGGTATTTCTATACAATCCTTTCCAAAGGATGTAGTTGTATGGCAAACATGGACGCGTTTCGATCGCCGACATCGAGGAGATTTTACTCTTAAATGTCATCGGCCTTTTGCTACGTACCGAAGACGGCTGTCACGAACACAAACCATTAGTCAAATCCGGGGGGAGATATAAACCAATCAATTCTGCTAAAATAATGCTGATTAAAGGGCCTCTTCCCACACCGTACACGATTGTTCAACACTCTTTTAGGCTGAAATTTCGCATGCGTAGAATGGTGAGCTCCTTACGCATATCCCCTGTCTTTCCACATGACTACATCTGCACTTCTCTTATCGTACGAAAATCCTACCAATTGTAGTGTTCATCGTATTTTGATAACAGAAATACGTCATTTGTAATAAAGTTCGAGCCCTTTGCTGAGCAGACCGATATCTTGTTGTGTGTACAGTCAGATACTGGCATAAACACAAGCTCAAAGGGACCGTGTATTCTCCTAACCTAGGTTAGGAGAATCCATCCCACGAGCCATCAATCTCCCCTGCCCTCAAGAAACTAAAAGTAGCAACAGTAGCAATGTCGTTGGGATAACAGCACTGCAACGAGATAAATAATAAAAGTATGTTATCGAATTAGATGATAGCGAATCCAAGTGCCGTGTGAAAGTCCATGCGTACGAAATATTTATTTACAATACTGATTTCAGTTGTTTGCCATTCATCGAAACGGATCACTTCACAATGCTGCACTTGAACTACGAAGTTTTTATCTATTAAAATCTCTATCTGCGATTAACTTGAATCAGATAAGTATAACCTCACTCGTTTTCCGTTTGACTGGCTCGACGACGATAGCCTCTGCTTTTGCAATCTCTGAGGTAAGGAGCAACTTGCAGTGAAACTGCCCGATGACCTCTCGGCGAAAAATCATTGTGCCTCGTGATACAGCTGATTCTTTCGTCAAAGTTAGCTTTTGGTTTCCAAAGGGAAATACCCTACAGCAACGAAACTCTAGAGTACTGACCTAAGGCAACCTTCGCCGCGCTCAGTACGAAAGAATAAAATGTTATGGCAACAGAAACGAACATAGCTACCCAATCTTGACAGATTTCGTCATGGAAAACAAAACACAAACGCAAAAAACTAAGCATTCAGTGACGGAATTTTTTTG